CATGGATCTGCAAGGATGACGAGACACTGACTCTCTCTGGCTCTTCTCTCAGCCCAAGAACACTCACGTCCTTCATTTTTAGCCACTCCTTCCCTCTCTTAACACTCTCGTCAAAAAGAATTGAGGGAGAGTATAGTGGTTCCAGGCAGTGGGTCCAGGATCCCAGGCCGCCATGTTTCAACCTTGCCCACTGTTATCTAACAAGTTTGGACAAAGGACATTGGCCACCAGATGGCATTTTCAGGTGCTGTACCTCTCCTGAGGGTCACAGAATGCTCATACTTTTTAAGACTCTCAAATCCCATGGGATTTAAAGTGGAATTAACCCTGATGAAAAAGGTAAATTGGGGCTGGGGTTGGGGCTCAGTGGTAGAGCGCCTGCCTTGCACATGTGAGGCACTGGGTTAGATCCTCAGCACCACATAAATAAATAAATAAAATAAAAGTACTGTGTCCATACAACCAAAAATAAAATATAAATTAAAAAAAAAAAAGAAAATTCCATTTTCTCTATGTATTTAAATTATGTGTCATTTTGTCTATTTATTCGGTGGTTTATTTTTGCAGTGCCAGAGATAGAAACCAAGCTCTTGTGCATGTTAGGCAAGCGTTCTACCCCTAAACTAAACCCCCAGCCTTTATGCATCAGTTTTTAAGTTAATTTTTTCCTTAACTGTCATTTTGTTATTTCAGTGACTCCTCATCTTATAAAGAAACAATCTTTCTAATTGTGGTATATTGCTTTCCATCAATATGTAATGATAATAGTAACATATGTCATATACTATGTGTATGGTGTACTGTGTGTATAATATGTACATACTATATATACTATATCTACTCTGTATATGAACATAATATATACTGTAAATATAGAGTAATAACATGTATATATACTATGTATATACATAGTATCATTTCATCATATTTTGATAACTTATTTTATAACCATTATATATAAAGCATTTATTAGGACACAAAATGCAGTATATTCTTTATGCCTTTAACCTGAGCTATACAGCCAGGTGGTTGTATAGTTTAAGTCTAATGCTGTATTCTTCAGTTTAAGTCTAATGCTGTATTCACCTATCACTACCACCTCTTTGGAAAACCAATGAAAAGTTACAATTATTCAAGAGACACTTGGGAGAGTCATTTAAAGCAAATTGCTCTTACTCACAGAATATTCAACTACTCACTTGACTAATGAACTATGGTTGAAGTTAAGCTTATATTATAATTGGTTCCAAGAGCAGGTACACCCTGCTGTTAACTCAAGGATCACACTCCCATTAATGCTTTACTTTCATAAGTCATTTTATATTATATATGATTTTGTGTGTGTGTGTGTATATATATAATATAAGATTGTTCTCTTCATATTACATATGTCTAAGGATGTTCCAAATACAGCTGTTCTTTTTTGGATACTGGAGATTTAACACAAGGGTTCCTAACCACTGAGCCACAGCTGCAGCCCTTTTTTTATTTTTTATTTTGAGAAAAGTTCTCACTAAGTTGCTTAGGACCTCGCTAAGTTGCTGAGGCTAGCCTCAAACTTGTGATCCTCATGCCTCAGCCTTCTGAATTGCTGGGATTACAGGTGTGCACCACTGGACCCAGCTTCAAATACAGTTTTATAGCTTTTGAAGTATTTTTACATTACACACACACACACACACACACACACACTCTCACAGTGTGTATGAACATTGCTCATTATCAATGAGGATCAATTACTTAAAATGGTAGAACAAGCCAAACATGGTGGCACATGCCTGTAATCTCAGTGATTTGAGGGGCTGAGGCAGAAAGATTGCAAGTTCAAAGCCAGCCTCAGCAACTTAGTGAGGTCCTAGCATCTTAGCAAGACCCCATCTCAAAACACAAAAATTTTAAAAGGACTAGGGATGTTGCTTAGCACCCCTGGAGTACAATTCCCAGGGGGGGAAAAAGCCTGTAGAACATATCCTAATTTTGCTTTTGCATTTCAAAAATCATGATTATAAGTTTAAAATGTTATATTCTCTTGGCCAATCATAATCCTATTATTTGGAAAATTTTATATTCTCAGATAGATACCTAGTATCTAGGGATTTATTATGGTGGCATTAGCCTCTTAACTATAACATACCAGTGTTTCCCAGGAATAGAAATAGAGAAATGATAAAAGTAAGATTCCAGATTCCAAATATTGTTTAATGCTATCAAATTAGCCAACATTAATCTCTGCTGCAAAATGCCCAAGTGGATACATTTTTGAAGGTTTACCAGAAGCAAGAACTCCATATTGGTGCCCTTTCCCTTGGTGCCTAGCTGCTCTTATTATCCAATATCTTCTGGAGGCCTGGGGCTTCGACACAGGGTCGTTGGAAGAATGAAAGTTTCACCTCTCTCAAAAATGTATATACCAAGTGGGAAATTGAGGACTGGAACTCTATGTGCAGTTAAGAGATTACTTTGCCACTTTATAGACTGCAAAACTGAGGAATGCACTGTTCATGATTTATTTAAGACAACAGTGCGGTTCAGGGACAACACTAGACAGAAACTGATATATGTGAGCTCCCAACAGAGTGCCAAGTCCATGAATCATCCTGCCACTAAATGAGTAAAACCAGAAGCAAAACCAAAAAGTCTAACCACTGGATACCATCACCTTCCAAAACCCAACGTTCACCTTGACTATGTTAGGGATATTTAAGATATTTCTACTCATAAAGATGCAAACAAATAATTAGGATATTATTGATTATATATTGTTATGACCATAATTGCTGAGGCTGGCCTTGAAACTTGTGATCCTCTTGCCTCCGTCTCCTGAGTAGCTGGGATAACAGGCATGTGCTACCGTGCCTGGCTTTTTTGGTAAAAATTGTATTGAGATATAAGGCACAATTCAGTGATTTTCAGTCTATTCACAAGTGGTAGAACTACTACTAAAATTTATTTTAGAATATTTTCATCACCTCAGAAAGAAACTTGCGTTCTTCATCTGTCATCCCCAATTCTCTCTTAAATTGTGAAAGACAGCTTTGCTCTCTGAAGCAGCCATTTTACCTATATACCCATTAACAATCCACTCAGTGCCAGTTTCTTTCCTGTGCATCAGAATAATCTTGATCGTTCTTATATATGCCAAAGTCACTTTTATAATAATATCCTTGTAAAATATTTCCAAATTATCTGTTTGTGGCTTTTATTTTTGTTTTTACTTGTTTACTTCTTTCTGATTCTGGGGATGGAACCCAGGGCCTCACACATACTAGGCAAGTGTTCTACCAATGAGCAACACTCCCAGCCCTGGGGTTTTAATTTTAATTTTAAAATATATTGTTTTTTAAAACCTCAATAGTAATTGTAATAATCGTTTATAACATAAACCAACAAAAGACTTTTTTGAGACAGAATGTATTTTTCATCAACATTATTTAAAACCATTGGCATTAATAATTTGGGATTTTGCTTTTAAGTTCTCTGTAGACAGCGTACCCCTCACTACCTACATCACTACCCCTCACTACCTCTCATCACCTGCCCTCAGTAGATCCTGATTACATTGGCAGATCAGAATCCCCATTAAGTGGTGAGACAAGAAACCCTGGGCCAACTGAAGCCTTTGACCAGGAAGACTATTGGAGACAGTGTTTGGCTGGTGGTCTGAACAACTTTTTATACACTGTTCATACAAAAGTGAGGTACCTGTACACTATCTGGCCAGTCAACCACTCATTCTTCCAGGGCGAAAACATAATTTAATGTCCCTTATGCTAACTAAACTCTTTTAGATATGAATGTGGCAAAGAAGCCTTTGAATGAACTGCCTCTATGGGGTAGGACTTTGGATTAGGTGTTTTAAATGCTATCTAATGACCTTGGATATGTATTCCTGATCACAGGCAGCCACCCTCAGCGCAAGTTAAAGTTAACAACAGATATACTTGCTCACTTTATGTTAAAGTAAGTGACAATGTCTCCCCAGTTCTTATCCTAGAGAATACAGCATGGGTGTTTGATCTTCATGCTGTGTATATGCACCTTAATGTGTGTGTATGTGTGTGTGTGTGTGTGTAAAATCAACTCCATTTGACCTAGACCCTGGATTGCCAGGATCCTTTTCTCCTTGGAAGCAGGCTTACAGCTCAGCAAGAGATTTGAGAAAGTGAACATCTGCTCTTGCCCACAGCCCAGGGGAGGCACAAGCACCAAGGCAGAGCACACCTTGGGCAGGATCTGAGCCTGGGAGCAAAGGTGGCCATTCATGCCTTGTGCCCTGCTGGCTGCTTGCCCATTCCATGCAAGCCACGATCTATGACTAGAGCAGAATGTTTATCAAAGAGGTAACCAGTGACTAATCATCTTCCCGTCTTCCTGAACAAATTGGTGGAGAAGAACAGATTCCTCTGAAAGTGATGTTAGTAAAGCTTCAGGTTACCTGAAAGGAAAACCCTGCACCTTCTCTGAGAATGTCCCATTTGGCATTTCCACCATGAAAAAGAGTCTTGAGCACAGGTCCCCATCCTGTGTCTAGTGCCCATGCGTATGCACACAGTTCTCAAAGCCTGATGGACATAGCAGTCACTCATGATCCTTATTAGAGGTTTAGGTTCTGGGATCCTGGCCCAGGGGCTCTGCTTCCCCCCAGGATGCACCCGAAATCTGAATTTTTAAAACTGCTCACCATTTTTGATGCCCATGGTCCATGCACCACCTGAGGAGCTACAGGTTTGTAGGCTGTGCAGTCAGAAAGCTCAACTTGGCCTTCCCAGCTCTTTCACCTGCTGGGCAAGTTCCCAGAGCTCCTGGGGCCCTGGTTTTAAATCAACCTCCAGGGTCTTTTGTGAGGCTCATGCGTGGTTCTCAGGCAAACAGTCTGGGAACCCTGCCCTGTTTCTCGCGTTCACCTTGGTGGTCTCACAGTGGAGGTCAACGCGCCACTCGGGCTGAGTCCTTCGGATCCCTCCTCCCCAGTGAGTTAAGCAGATCTTGTTCCCTGCCAGCCTTCAACACAGCCAAATGTGAGAAGCTGCAGAAGGAGAAGGAGGACCTGGAGCGGCGGTTCGAGGAGGAGCTGAGGAGGCTGGGCTGGCAGCAGCAGGCCGAGCTCCAGGAGCTGCAGGGGCGGCTGCAGGGGCAATTCGAGATGGAGATGGCGCGCCTGCAGGAGGAGCACCACAGCCAGCTGCTGCGCATCCGGTGCCAGCACCAGGAGCAGGTGAGTCGGGCCCCAGGGGAGCGGGCTCTGCTGTTGGGCAACTCAGGTGACAGGCGGAGGGGGGCCAGTGTCACGTGAGCAAGAAGTCCTGTTCAGTAAGTGACCTTGTGGCCGAGTTCACTCTCCAACTACAGTTCTTTCTTCTGACTCTCCCCACCTCTCCCCCAGCCTTAGGTGGCCTCCCTTGCTCTTTAACACTCTGCCGGGAATGCTGTCCCTCTAGACATTGCATGGCTCCCTCTTTCCCTTCCTTCCAAGTTTTTCTCCAACATCATCTTCTCAGTGAGGTCTTTCCCTATCTGAAATGACACTTCCTCCCCACTTGACATGCAGATATTTCCTGTCCCACCGCCCCTGCTATAGTCTGACATATTATAAGGAGGTTTCTTTTGTCCCTTATTTATCATCTGCATATTCTGTGCGGGCAGAGACGATAACAGGCAAACACGTATTCAGCCCTGGTTTGCTTTTAGCTCTTTATATACAGCAGCTCATGGATCCTCACCATCACCCTACCTGGCAGGGACCATAGTCAGCCCCATTTTGCAAGTGAAATAACTGGGTCCCTGGGACTAAGTAAATAAGCTGTTGGGATTCAGAGCTGCCCCTAGGAAAGCCACAGTGGAATTCTGAATGGCTCCAGAGTCCATGCTGCCAATCACTAACTTAGAATGGTCTGCCAGGTTTTCTCTAGATCTCCACACCTGGAACTGTGCCTGTAAAAAGTAGGCACAGAACACATGTTTGTGGAATGAAATAATGAGCTCCAGGAGTTAGCCTTAGCCCGGCAATCTGACTGGACAGGGAAATTCATCCATAGAATAATGAGGGAATGATTCCTCGGGGGCCTGTCAATGTGAAAAGTGGGCAGGAGCCAGATGTGCCCACCCCACGGCCATTACTGCCAAGAGCGCTGATGAGAGAGACAGGTGGAACCCAGACTCCAACAAATCTACCTCAGCGAAAACTGCACGGTGATTTTCTCTTCTTTCACGTTCCCAAGCTCAGATGCCTTGAGATCCACCTTCTAATTGGTGATTATTTTATATGTTCTGCTCATCATACACCCAAGGAAATTGACATTCATGAAGATGCCCTTTAAATCTCAGTGACACTCAGGGTAGTGCTTCATGGCCCTTCATTATCATGAACTTGCAGCTGTCTCCCAAGGTCACTTCCAAATAGACAGCCCAGATGGCAATACCATGCACCACCTCCCTGCTGCCCCAGGGGCTTGGGAATGCTGGGAAGCATAGGAGAAATATTAGAGTAATAGTAAGTACCATTACTGTAAAAAAGAATCTCTTGCTTCACAGTATCTTTTAGATATAGCAAGCATCTCAGGTTATTCATTCTCCTTTTCTAGAGGCCAGTGAAATACAGCAGCACCTCCCTGCTTGAGGTATTTAAGACTTAAGTCTAGACATAGAAGAGGTCTCAGCTTAAGTTACCTGCTGGTGCTAAAAGTGGAAACTGAAGTCTTGGCATCTTGCTGCTCAAGCTGTCTGAGTGCAACTGCTGGACGTAGACTGAGCACCTGCTACAGTCCCTGATCTCACCTCTTTCATGGCCCCTTGGTGTAAATGGAGGCCTCAAACCTGTTGCAAATATCAGCTTGTCCTGTGTCTCTATCCCTGGGCTATTCATCTCACTGTTAAACAGAACGTGTTTATAACTGTGTTTCCCAAAGACTTCCGATCCATAGGTCTGGGGCCATTGAGAAGATGCCAAACGTTGGAGGTAGGCAGGAGGTGGTCATCTGCAAGGGCAACCCCTGGGACGAGGGCTGGCATAGTGATGCCACATTGCCAGGGCCACTACCAAGTGAAACATTTTCCACCGGCAGAGGCATCTTGGGGCCAGGTCCTCTCTATGCACACACCAAGACCTGTTCATTAAGCTGGGTTTCAACAACCTTTTGGAGATTTCAAAAAGGAAGGAATTGAAAGGAAAAAGCCCTTCACTTCTGCATTTGAGAATGAGTTACATTAGCTACCTATGTCTATTTTAAAAGTGCTCAGTCTTACGGGGGCACTGATTCTGTTCTACTTGATCCTTTATGAGAGTTAAAACCATTTATTTACTTATTCTCCTATGCAAAGAGTATTTGAGTGCCCACTGTATGCAGAACACCATGACAGGGTTTGGCAAGAGATACAAAGATTTATAAAACGTGAGTTTGCTTATTTCATAGGAGCAGTTCAGGGACAAGTACCCAAGGAACTGTGGGATAGGGTGAGGAACACAGGTGATATGTTCAGGCATGGACAGTCGACGGTCCACTCTGAGGACAAGGGGAGGTGGATGGTGGAAACACCACCTTCATGCTCTATGGGTGAGGGAAACCTCCCAACAGGGACCCAGAGCCTGGGGGAAACAATGATTCAAGTCTATGAATGATTTCAACCCCTGGTTCTGCTCTTCCTGCCAAATGGCTGTTTCCATGATCTTCAGCTTCTGCAGCAGAACATTCAAGAGGAGAGGAAGAAGACATGCACATCAGCTCAAGACTTGGATTTCCAGACAGATTAAATTCTCATTGGTCCCGTGGGAGGGGAGACTCAGTGGATAACTGAGGTAGAGACTCAGTCACTCCAGGCTGGACTCTCCACCTTGGATCTTCCTTCTCAAGGACAGTCACGTGTGGCAATGCTGACCCCATGGATAATGGCATCTCTGTCCTTCTGGAGCCTTTAAAAATCAGGTTACCCAGTCTGGCCTCTCCACAAAATCCAGTGTCCCTAAGGCCAGCAGCACGGGGCAGGGGCCTGCCTCAATTCCAACCTGTAGGATTCTCTGAGGCTTTGGAATTTACTGATGTTGGGACTTGCTCACCAAAGCAGGCTGACCTCTGGCTTCACCCTAGGATCTCTCCATGACAAAAGCAGCCGAATCTCCTCCTAGCTTAGCCATCCACTATCTCAAGGGGCAAGTACTGTCTCCCTGGCCAGGGACTGTGCTCTGGAGAAACATGGAAATCAGCTGAAGGACTTGCAGAACATTCATACCAGTTGAATTGGACTTGCTGCCTGGGGTCTGGCTGGGGGCTGTTTTGGATGGTTTCCCAGGAGATTTCCTGTGTACAGTGGCATTTGTTCTGAGAAGAACAGATCTTCTTCCTCAGCCTAGCATGTGTTAGTTAGGGGCCTGGCCATTTGGGCAGAGATGGGGCAGGACCTTGTATCTTGGCTTTTTAAATTGACTTTAAATATATGATGGGGCTTTTATTTTACTTTTTGGTACTGGGGATTGAATTCTACCATAGAGCTACATCCCCAGTTCTTTTTATTTCTTATTTTGAGACAGAGTCTCACTAAGTTGCTAAGGATGGCTTCAAACTTTCGATCTTCTTCTCAGCCTCCTAAATCACTGGGATTACATATGTGATCCACCACACCTGGCTTAGAACTCTAAAGTCTGGTGGTAAAGGTGTTTAATTAAAATCAGATAGAATAAGTTTTATAACAACAGAGGCCACAATGCCATAGATTCCCATTCGCGAAGCATGCAAACCAGATTTTCACTGTAAACATGTGTGTTTCTCTTTTTGCACCACACATTGTCACTTCTCCACCCAGCTTCTGGTGCTCCATACTGGGCCACCTTTAGTTGTTCCCCAGAGCCTGGTATTCAAGAATGAAATTCGTGACATTTGCCTGTCCCCCAGGATCCTTAGACAGTTTGTCTTCTATTGCAAGCTGCCCCAAGGCACTTGCTTTGGGGACTGCTTGTTCCTGGATGCACTGTGGATTTTGCAAAGATTCCTTCTCCTTGAGAAGGGCTCATCCTTTGGAGTTGAAATTTGCTTCGTCTCAAATCCAGGACATCCGTCCTACCCTTTCTTAATGAAATCATCCTTTTAGACTAAATGGCAGGAACAGCATCCCTGTGATTCCTCTGAACGCAGACACCACTTTGTCTATCATGTTGCATTATGGTCTCCTTAACCCGCCTGTCCAGCAGGCTCCCAGCTGCTGTGCAGAGGAAACCACATTCTCTGTAATCAAATAGAATAAGATCCCGGGGGGGCTCACTTCCCCAGCATCTAGCACTAGAGCTCCCTGTGCTAGGAGGAGGCTCTGCAGGGGAGATGGAGCCTCTGTGGACACCTGCCCATGGGGTGGGCTGTAGAGAGGGCAAAAAGCAGGGGGATGGAGTGGGACTGGAAGCCCCTGCACGCACGGCTAGCCACCTGCTCTGAGCTGATGATAGCAGGGAAAGACTGAAGAAGGGTCTTCTAGTAATCAGGCAAAGGAAAGTCATCAGCAGAGCGCCAGAGAGAGCAGGCATAAGCCAGCATCCTCTCTGTCTCCTCCAGTATGAGACATGTCTGGGAGGAGGACCAATGGGAGTTTAATCTGGTTTTGTTTAGTAATAAAAGCTCAGATAATATAGAGCACGTGCTTCTTTATTTGAAATGTAAGTCTTCTCTAAGTGAATTGCCAAAGTCCCAGATAATTAAATTTTGCAAATGGCTAAATGAAGTAAACTGCACAGGGTGGCTTTCCAACCCTTGGCTCTATTTTAACCAGCCCAGCTGAATAGCAAGGGGCAGTGGGAATGGAGTCACGTCACAGCGAATAGCTGGTTTTCAGAACAAGCAGGGCTATTTGATGGGCAAATTGACAGACTCCTACAGGGCGCAGTCCAGAGCGCCATCTTTGTGGAGGAAAGCAGAAGGTGGGCCAGCAGTGGTTTAATGGGGGCTGTACCAACTGTTCTAACAAAAAGAGAAGGATGCTTCAGTCAGAGGAAGCTTGCTGTAGGCTGGCAATGGTTTAGTGCCTTTGTCTCTGATCCCCTGATTTACAATGTGTAGATAGATCATCTTGTGTTTCCGTTGGCCCACTTCTCTAAATCTGCTCAAATACCTTCAGAGGGTTTCAAGGTCTTCTCACACTGGGGACTCTTACTGGCTGCTTCATAATTGTGAGCCGGTCATCTAGAAAAGAACCAGGAGGGGCTGGGGCTGTAGCAGAGCACTTGCTGCCCTCCTGTGAGGCACTGGGTTCAATCCTCAGCACCACATAAAAATAAACAAATAAAATAAAAGCATGCTGTCTCTCTACAACTACAAAAAAAAATAAAATTTAAAAGAAAGAAAGAAAAGAACCAGGAGCCATAGGAGGAGAAGTCAGAGTGATTTAAACCATGGTAGGAGAGGGGATAGCCCATAGTGGATAACATCTCTTCCTCATTGAGGGAACATTCCTTAAAAACCATAAACATTCCTTTAAAAAGGTGCATAAAAATTGCCGAAGAGCGAAGATTACTGTGTTCAACTTTGGGCTCACAGGATGTCACTGGTTTCCCTCCAAATATACTGGTCATCCCTCTAATTCCATATGGACTTTTAGACTTAGGCTATCAGTATTTCATTCATAAAAGCACCTCCTAGCGTCAGCAGTGGGTATAGCATGCCCTTATGCCATCCTAATATGTTGGATGGGGATTTCCATCACAACTAAATCAAAGACGTGTCTTCCAACAAACCATAAAGGCATTCATTTTAGTCGCAAGCAGAATGTGGTATTGCCAATTGGGACATGTCCACCTCCAAGGACACATGGATTCTTCTGGAACTTAGTCCTTCCATCTTTTCTGAAACCTGGTGGTCTATGTGAAAGCTCCGTGAATTGGAATCATAGTGAGAACCAATGAAAGATTTTCCATTTTATATACTGAACTCTGTAACATCTCCAGATAATGTGTGGGCACTTGTTTCTACAGAGAGGAGAATACACTGTGTGTTTAAATGACATCTGAAATTGAGCAGAAAGAAATGATATTTCCTTTTCCTTTTATTTAACCATTGATTTATTTTTCCAACAGGCTGAAAGGCTTTGGACAAAGATTCCATTAAAACCTCATATAAACAGGAATTGGACAATTAAATACCATTGTAATCAGCCTTTCTGCTGAGTGGATTCATAGCTCTGAGCCTCAAGTAAAATATTGTTTAATCAAGAATGTCCAGTAAATAAGAGTGAATTGTTGCATAACAAGTTCATTTTCACAATGAGATACAGCTTTCCTAGGTAATTCTGTGGGTTCCATTATTGCTTTTATCTCCTATTTTAGAGAATAAAAATCTCATTTACCTTAAGAGGAAAGTCAGGAAATTTTTCCCATAAATTTATATGATTCACAATGGGAATCTAGCCATTTTTAAATGAAAATTCTCTCATGGGTTGGTAAGCAGGCTTTCCTTCTTGTAAAGAGCCCTTCCTCCTTTTAGATCACAGAAGAAATTATAAGAATTATCCCCCAGAGAAATGAGATTCTTGCAGAGGTGGCTGAATATTACCAGAGAGAAGCAGTGGGTTCCTAATCAGTCCACCTAAGTGCTTCAGGACCCAGACACATTGTCTGATTCTGGTTTTCAAATGGCAGCTTTTCATACATTCCTAGGTCATGAAATAAGTTTAATGGCTTTTAACTAGCATTCTGTAAAATAGAATAAAAGTTTTAAAACCGAATTATTGTAAGTTCCAGGAGAAGTATTATCTTGTGACAGTTTGGTTTCAGATATGGAGTTGTGCATGCATGTGTGTACATGTGTGCTGTGTTGCAGTCCACGGTGGAATTTTTTTTTTTTTTTGTAGTGGGTCACTCTCAAAGAATTCAGATGAACATCATATGGTGTGCTATGTCCAGGAGAGATTTGCTATCCTAGGGAGAGGTTGTTTTATGCCATTACTCCAGTAAGTCTTACATTTGAAGTTAAACAAAACCATAGCCATGATTAAAAAACACAACATCAGTGAACATGATAGGCAAGATGATGGGTAGGAATTGGTGGGGTTGAAGAAACAGGAACTGTGAAAATTAAAAGTCCTGACTGCCTGCACATTGTCACCTGGGGAGAGGGGACAAGCTTATGTTTAGGAACTTGCAAACACATGTAAATCTGCTGGCCTCATCTAGGCTTTGATGAAGGGATCTAAAGTGTTACTTGATGGTCTGACTTGGGTAGAGGCCACAGTGGTGTGTTTGAGAGAACTTCACCTTTGGGGTCAGGCAGATCTGGACCCTGCTGTGAGCTCCGCCATTTGCTAGCCCTTGGGCAAAACATTTTATACCTCTCTAAGCCTCTGGTTCCTCATCTGTAAAAAGTGCATAAAAATATTGATTTATAAAGTTGCTCTGAGGGTTAAGTGGAATAACCCAAGTCAGGTAGCTTAGTAAATGTTAGTTCCCTCCATTTTGAAAGGAGGATGCTTTTCTTTTCTTTTTCCATCTTTACCTCATAGAGTGGTGCAAAAGGAAGGGATAGGAGTGGAAAGAGAAACCAGACCAGGGCTCTGAAGAACTGGATGAGGTAGCCATCGTCAAGTGGAGCCGCCATCTTTCTTCCAACCACCAGATTACAGCAGTGATTCCCCCATGACTCTGGGAACTGCCACATCTCCAGCAAACCCTGACTGTCCCTTGGCACGAGGTTGAGGGTGAATGTCACCTGATGTCCGAGGCCACTGGATTTTTTCTTCTCCTTGAATCAAACCTCTGTTTTCTTAGCAGTGAGGATATCACTGGCAACCTCTGCCCACCTCCCTGGTAACCAGTATTGTGACTCCCCTTCAGGTGGAAGATATCACCGCCAGCCATGAGGCTGCTCTTCTGGAGATGGAAAATAACCACACGGTTGCCATCGCGATTCTGCAGGATGACCATGACCACAAAGTCCAAGGTACCTACCAGCCTTGTATGCAGCAGAGAGGGGGGAGCTGTGCAAGTCAAGCAGGAGCCCTTCTCTTCCTTCTCTCCTTCTTTTTCTTCCTGGTGCATCCTTTGTGTTGGTTCCTGTGAAAAGAGGAAATAGAAATGAAGGATTCAGGTAGGGGTGGGGATGTCCACCAGTGGTAGAGCACTTGCCTAGTATGCATGATGTTCTGGGTTTGATCGCTAGCACTGGGCGGGGGCTGGGGGGAGGATGTAGGTAATTTCTCTATTCCAGAGCAGATTTTCTTAACCTTGCCTAAATACTGAAATCCCCTGGGGAGCTATAACAAAAACACATGTCAGCTTTGTTCCCACACCCGGGATCCTGATGTAGTTGGTCTGGGCTGTGGTGAGGACATCAGGATTTCTTATGGTTCCTTGGGTGATTCTAATATGAAGCCTGACTTGAGGACCACTCTTCTGAAGCAGGCAAAGAAATCTCAGGCTTCCTCTTGTGCTATGGTCTTATAAAACCAAGCGGAAATGCCAATGAGGGTGCACTTTCCTCACACGTGTGGTGCTCTTAGGGCCAGAGCAGCATCTCCCGAGTTTGTCTTCCTTGTCCCTATCCACCATATAGATAAGTTGAGTCCCCAGATCTTTATTTCAATATTTTTGCAAATGAATTATCTTTGTGTTGTGGTTTGGTTGTGGCTTATTTGTGTGATAGAGGATTGGTCCCCAGTGTAGCAATAGAAGGGATAATAGAATCTTGAAGAGGTGGCACCTCATAAGAGGTCCTTAGATCATTGGAGATATGCCTGCAGAAGGGATTGTGGGGTCCCAGTCACCCTGACTTTCTGTTCGATGAGGTGATCTCCTTCTTCTGGTACTCTGTGTTAGTCAACTTTCTGTCACTATAACAAACTACCTGAAATAATTAACTTAAAGAGAGAGAAGTTTTGTTTCAGGTCAGAGTTTTAAAGATGGCAATCCAGATCAATTAGCCTCATTGTTTTAGGCCTGTGGTGAGGCAGTCCATCATGGGAGTGTGTGGCAGAGCAAAATCACTTGCCTCATCGCCAGGAAGCAAAGGAGAAGGAGAAGAGGGCAAGTGTCTCCCAGTCTCCTTGTAGGACATATCCCCAATATCTAAAGACCTCCGACTGGGCCCTACTTTTTAAAGATTTTGCTACCACCAGCCTGGTGATCAAGCATTTAACACATGGATCTTTAGGGGACACTCAAGATGCTATAGCATTCTCCCACCATGAGTCCTGCACTAGATCTGAGCTGATGTTAGCACCTTGCGTTTAAATCTTCTGAACTGTAAGCTACAGAAAACTTTTTTTCTTTATAAAAGAAACCTGCCTCAGGTATTTCATTAGAGTAACAAAAAACAGATGAATGTAATTTGGATAAGATTTTATGCAAGCCATAAAAACAACATTAGTAGATTCTACTTGGATTTTCCTTTGGGAAATAAGAAGCTTTTTACACTTTCAAATGCATTTATATTCATATATGCAACTTTTTTTTAAATTTCCCTGTCTTTTAATTTTTCCCTCAGTAGAGCTGGTTGTTAAAAGTATATATTAAAAACAATGAAATTTAACAATGGATTAATAATGTTTTTAAAATCTGAGAATGAATATCAGAAGTTTTTATTCTTAAAATATTCTTAGTAAACAACAAAACCCCAGTGCAGTAATCCATTTCGTGTTATTGCCTCCCTCAAGTGCCAGCCCCACCACCTCTGGGAACTATTAGTAAGTGAAAAAGTCCACGCTGGAGGCAAGAAAGAATAATTTTCCGAGAACTAGTTAAATATATTACTTGTGTCCTTGGAGTACTAGTCCCTGTGGTTGACTGCACATTACAACAACTTGGAGAGTTAAAACAAACAGCACATCCAATCCCCTCAGAGATTCCAATGTAATTGGTGTTAGGTTCCGCATCAGGATTTCCTAAAACTCCTCAGGTGATTCTAACATGCAGCAAGATTTGAGAACCATTGTTCTACAGCACAGTATTAAGATAGGACAGATTGTCGTGAAATAAAGAACTACAATATGGGGACACATATTATGTAAGAAGCAATGTTTGTGTCATCTTCAGAATAGATGCTGGATTTCCTTTTCCCCTGGGGTTTTAGGGTCCACTGAAAATGTCCATCATCGCACCATAGAAACCTGATCTCAGGAAAGGAAATATGAATGCAAATGGTGTGCTGATCAATGATATTATGTTGTCTTTTGTTTGTGGATTTCACATAAATAAACCTGGTAGATTTTTTTCTCACACATGAAATCTTATTTAGACATCACATCCAAGGCCTTTGAATTATCTAATGTGAAGACAAATGTGGGTATATGTAATAATAGCTAAAATTATCATTATTATGCTTAGAATGATGCCCTCAATGCCTCTTTTTTAAATTTTAATTTGTTGTATATGACAGCAGAATGCATTACAATTCATACTACACCTACACATTACAGATTTTTCATATGCAATTTTTCATCTCTCTGGTTGTACACCAAGTAGAGCCTCAATGACTCTTAACTAATCATTTACACAAAGACAGGTAGACCAGAAGGCTACTTAGTTTTATGTCAGAGAAATCAGCATAAACTCTTTTTTTTTCCCCAAATGCAAATTTCAGCTATGGCAACTAGATTTCTTAGCAACCCTTACCACCATTAGTTAAAAGATTTGGATCAATGGAAACCACAGAGTTTTTCCTAATTGCAGTTCATGCCAGCCAAAATGGTAATTGCTGGTCTCCAGTACTCACCTATTCTAAGCATATGATCCGGTCTGATTAATGACCTTTCCTCTCTCTTGTTATTAACATGAAAACAAATTGCTTGTATAGCCAGAATGAAATGGGCTTCACCCAGCTAATAAGTCTCTTCCCATCTGGAGGAAAATAGAATCCATTTGCTTAATAACTCCTACATGACATTTCTTTCTGCCTAACTTGCAAATTACTTCTGGGATGACACATTTCATGGAACAGAATTGCTGCAAACCCTCCAAGAGGAACCAGTTTGATTAGTCTTTCATTCTGACCAAGTATCTTCACACTGGATCTTGGCTCATGCAAATTCTCAGGGTCTGTAGTTCTGAGTGTGGCCCAGAGGCCACCAAAGGGTCCTTGTAGACCCGGCACAGGTCCCATCCATGCCATCCATTCTCCAGCAAGGCTGGCAGGACAGCTATTCTGCAGGACCACTTTCCTTAGAAAGCTCCTTCCCCAGTCCCCAGAAAAGTCCTGTGATGGGGAGAAAATGGGCAGCTAATGTGAAGTACCCAGTTGTTTTACCATTAGGAAAAGTGAAAGGATTGATGAGCACTGGGAACAAAGGATCTGACCTGGCCCGGCTGGTTGTGCCACAGGATGCAGATGGTGTGTGTGTGTGTGTGTGTGTGTATACGTGTGTATGTGGACATGGATGTGGACCTGTGCGAGAGCACAAGTGCATACATGTGCTCTGATTCTCCCTCTTTCCTCTTCCCCTTTTTTCTCTCCTGCCCCTCCTTCCTTCCTGCTCTATTTCTTTTACATTGCAACCTGGTCATCACATACAAGCTGGAGTAAAAGACTCTTTAGCCTTAAATCTGTTATATCCAGGATTTATTTATTTATCTAAAGTTATTAGCCTTAGTTGGCCCAGAGCCTTGTTCTATCCTTTTCAAAAGAAAAACCAACGTAATAATTTGATATCAACAATGTCTTCACTCCAGAATTGATATCTACCCATGAACTTGAGAAAAAGGAATTAGAAGAAAATTTTGAAAAGCTGCGGCTGTCATTACAGGTTAGTGTTTCCTTGATCTTCTTAACTGATACCAACGCAGCAGGAGCAGCAGCTGCAGCATTTCTACTCACAAACATTTATCCAGCACCAACTAAATACTAGATCCTGATTTAAACACTAGAATATACAGGTAAATAAGACATATTCCCAGCCCTTTAGGAATTGGTGGTAAGAGAGCTGTGACACAAATAGTATCAGACAGCCACAAAAGGTAACACATAATTGCTCCAAATGAAGAACACAGTGGGTGAGCGCCACAGAAGTGCTGTAACTGGAGACAGATGGGTAACTAAGCTGTGTCTGAAGAAAGGACGCACACAAGGAAGAGAACGTTCTAGGCAGGGGCAGTGGTGCAAGGGTAGCTGCAAGGTTGATTCATGGATTACACTCTGGGTATTTTAAAAGAGACTTCAGTCACCTGGAGGTTGGCGAGATGAAAAATGCCCCTTCTACCTCTTACTGCCACCTAAAGAGAATGTCAGAGAAGCTGCCTGGCTTCCCGTTGGTCTCCAGGGGAACAGCAGGTCTCCCAGGTCACGTGCACCTCCCTTCTACCTTCCAGAGGCCCAGGCCAGCTGCTTCTGTGAGAGGCCAGTGACAGTCCCAGCCCTAAGGAATTGCTGCCACGCAAGCAAGGGGCAGGGGCAGGGGCAGGGCAGTGGGTTGGGGGAACCAGTTTCATTTCCAAGTGGAGAAAGTCTGACCATAAAAAGATTATTTTTCTAAATATTAGGGAGACTTGTACCTAGAAATCATGGAAGATGATCCCCATAACTAATATATAAGCAGGAATTTTGCTTCTTCCATGTGGGGTCCCTTTTCCTTGGCAGTATACATTATATAGATGCTCCCCTGCCCAGAAAAGCAAAGCACCCAGGGTTGTGGAGATATCAGTGTCACAGCTATGGAGTGCACTATTGGAAAACTTTAGGGGGTGGGGGTATAGCTCAGTGACAGAGCTTGCCTCACATGCGCAGGGCCCTGGGTTCCATCCCCAGAACCACACACACACACACATAAACACTCACAGGGACCCAGTTTTGTTTCATCATTTCATCTTTCCTCTGCCTAACATCAAATGGTCATAAATTCTGCATATTTTGGTCATAGCTCTTCCCTCAGCATAATCCGTCTGGGCTGAAGACGATTCAGTACAAGGTATATGGAGTTGCTACAGCCAACTTCCTTGGGCTACTGGCTGCTAGAGAAATAGCTAGTTTGGGCAGTTGCAGATTTTGAGCTTTGGGTTTAAGACTTTTCTGGCCTGTCTTTACTAGCTTTGAGGTCTTTGACAATTACATAAACTTCTGTAAAGTTAGTTTACTCTCCTGTGAAATGGAGATGACAGCAGTACCTCTCTCAACGTGTGGGCAGATTAAGGGAAATAATGTGTGGAAAGTGAGTAGCACTACCTTGGCTTGTGCCAAGTGCTAATAAGTAGCAGCTCTTGCTATGACAATAGCTGCAACCGCTGTGACATTTATGATTATCATCACTATTGTTATCATGCCATCTGTTGACTTGTGAGTGGTCCATGCTGGGTAGGGCCACCAACTGGGTCTTTGTGTCTCAGCCTGACATAAAGTAGCAAACCCAAGTTGAGAATCAGCCTGTCTTGTCTGATTACTGCAGCACTGTTCTGTCCCTGTGGGTCTGTTTTGAATAATGGTGAACAAGTCAGAAAAATCGGTTTGGTATTTTAGATCCATCCTGGGTGGTAATTGTCTGATGTTTGGCTTTTTAATGATGAGGAAGAGGTGAAAGGAAATGCTTCCTTGGACAGCTCTGACGAGGTGTGGGGTGAGCCTCAGGTGGCCGTGCAGACATTTTTATAGGCACATTCTGGAAGGCAGTCGCAGCAGCACAGTGGACCTGCGCTGAGCCCCGCGGGGCCGCCCTCAGCGGTGATTTCCCTGCGCTTGTCAAGTGCATACAAACTCCCACTGACAACTCTATTGCCCTAATGTACGAGCATTTGCATTTAATGGTACCGTGGGGACTTTTATTTCTTCAAAAGGAAATGCAAGTAACTGGAAGAAAGAAAAAAGGAAAGAAACAGGAAAAAGGAACCCGCCCAGGGATGTTTGCAAACCAGAGCATCTGCCAGGATGAAGGAAGGAAGCAGACCTTGATATAGAGTCCCTGGGTGGAGTTACAGAATTTAAAGTACCTGCTCCTACTAGTTGGGGGGATGAGGCCATTTCTCTTGCCAGAGGAGTTCATGGGAGACCCTAGTCCCTGTGCTTTAATAGTACAGAAATGGAGTCCTGGGGTGGAGGACTTTGGAATACTCAGCCTGAGTGAGCCAGAAGAATGAGGCTGTCCTTAAGCATCATAAGAAAGTCACTGTCCAGCGTCCTTCACTCCATGGTGATGAGGCCCACAGCTGAGGCTGGGTGGGGAGGGGTCAGTGTAGTTTCCTCTGCCCTGGGAGCTGGGGAAGGGGCTCAGTGACTCCTCAAACACACCTTTGTTCCTTCAATATATACATAGAAAGCTGCCTGTGGCTGGCATGTGCTGGGGACTGGGAGTGTCACTCTAGTGGGGAGAAGGTAGGACATGCTGGGTGGCTCGGCTCATAGAGTGACTTGTACTTGGGACCTGCTACCCAGCCCTGAGCCCAGAAGGTCAGCTGGGGCCCAGAATTGAGGAGGGGATGAGAGGGAACGGGCAGAGGAAGGTGCCGGCAATAGGGAAGGTGGAATGTGAGGTCTAGAACCCGGCTGGCTCTGATCTGTATGAGGAAGGTGCATTCACCTTGAGGACAGTGGAGGTGCAGCTAGTGGGACAGCAGGTTCAGGTCTGTGTGCTACAAGGGCAGCCTGGCTGTGGCCTGCAGGCAAGAGAGCAACCAAGGAGTTCTGGAGCTAGGAAGGAGCCACCGAGGTGCCTGAGCCTGGGTGGAGGGAGCAGGAAGGGCAGAGTTCATGGGTCCAGGGACATGAATAGGCCGGACTTGCTCAAATGCCAAGTCAGCAATTAGAGGTCTTGGTGGTGGTGGTGGGAGGGGTCTCAGGGCAGAGAAGGAAGCCCAGGAGGGTGCGAAGGTTTCCAGCTTCAGCTTTATAACCGAGAACAATGCTTTGCGATAGACTAACTGCACAGGGACGTTATTTACTTGCAGGACCAGGTGGACACACTGACCTTCCAGAGCCAGTCTCTGCGGGACCGAGCCCATCGCTTCGAGGAGGCTTTGAGGAAAAACACCGAAGAGCAGCTGGAGGTAGTCACTGCTGTCCAGGCTCCCAGCACCTTGGAGGCCTGGTGTCCAGCCCAAGGACGAGGCTTCTGTGCTGATCTGCTGCCAAAGTGACAGCTGATCACAACCTCCCTGCGAGGCTTAAACAATGCCTGCCAGCGCCTGTCCCCTGAGACAGGCCACAGCTGTGGGCTTCTCCATCAACCTGTCATTTTTTACCAAATCCCAAAGCACCCCCCAGACAGGGTCCCTAGGCTCCTGTGATAGGAACAGTCTAGACACTCCACCCCAAGCCTCTTGAGGCTGGCCCCAGGACACCAGCTGAGGCATGAATTGAGGGAAGCTTTTTCCAGAAAACCTAGAAACCCCCTTCCCTCTAGTGTAGTGCTGACAGCAGAAATGCACAGCACCCAGTTAAATCTGAACAAAGGTAGGTGATGTTTTGAAGATAAGTATCTCCCATGAAATACACTAAAACATTTTTTCATGTTGTTTGTCTGAAATTCAGATTTTGCAGTTGTCCTGGGTTTTTATTGCTTGCATCCCTGAACCCTGCTCTAACATGTCTTTTTCTTAAATGACTTTTCTGCTTTTTAAGCCACTTTGGTTTTTTCCCATGTATGAGGGCAAGACCTCGCCATGGGCTCACGTGGCATCCACAAGGTCCCCGGTTGCCTGGTGAATCAAGGTGTCTAGGAGCATGTTCAAAGGCAGCATTGGATTCTTTTTGCCCCATGAGTCTCCTTCTGGGGGTGGTGGCAGCATCCAGCCATTCTAGTATCCAGACTTTTTAGTGGATGATGGCCATGATGATGGCCGTGTCTCACAGCTCCCCACCACCCAGAGCTGGGTTTGCAGGAGAGTTCTCAGCGGGAAGCTAGCAGGGCACCTTAGCTGGGGAGGCTGTGAGCCTCCTGGCTGGCTCTCTGGCTGGTGCTGCAGCTGCCCACCAGAGAGCTTGTTACAGGCCACATCTAGCTGGATTCACAGCCGAGAGTCATGCTAGGTTTTGCTGGGGACCCTGGCCCACAGCTCCTGGCTCTTTGCCCCTGTAGATTGCACTGGCCCCTTATCAGCACTTGGAGGAAGACATGAAGAGCCTGAAGCAGGTGTTAGAGATGAAGAATCAGCAAATACACCAGCAGGAAAAGAAGATTATTGAGCTGGAAAAGCTGGTGAGTTGGTGACTTGCTTGGGAGACAGACTGCTGTGATTTTCCTGCTGTTGTCATTGATGTCCTCAACATTGACGGTGTTCAGCCAGACGTGCCCCTTCCCTGCCTATTGTTCACATGTGAGCAGGAAATTCCATAGCTGAGCCCAGAGGCCATTCTCAGGAGGCCCAGGGTTCTGATGAGGAGTCACAGAGGTGGCCTGACTTTTTCCATCTCTGAGGCTTCCTCGTTGCCTGTCTCTTCTCTACTCTGGTTTCCTGTGTAAGTGCCAGGTCCTCCCTCATCCCTGAAGGATGTGTGACTGGTGAGCCAGCACGAAGGAGCATCTATCACGAACGTGTGCCCAGTGCCGTGCAATGCATTTGTTTTCCCACTCCTGCTGCTGCTGTGTGGCCTGGCTTGTGTGGGGACGGGCCACACTGGGAGCAACAGCCATCTTCCTCCTCCGGGCTGGGTTGTCTGCCCTGGGCCTTGCACCAGCCACGGAGTTAGTCTGACTGTCCTGAACCGTGTTCCAGCTCTCTGCAGGCAGGCACCACATCTCATTTCAGAAATCTTTCCAGGCAAATGAATTGATTTGCTCACTTCCCTTCCTGGGAGCAAAGTTGAGGGTCAGGTGGGGTCCCTTGCTAAAGATTAGGGACAGAGGCCAGTCCTATGGCGAGGGTTCCAAAGCCCTCATCATGGGCAAGTGACAATTTTCTTGAAAGATTAACTACATGAACAGTGAACATGTATGTCCATTCTTTCGAAATATAATTTATTTCTAAATCATTCTAGAATGAAACTGCACAAGACTAGGTCTCAGGCCCTGGGGGACACACTGACAGCAAAAATGTCATAAATTGTGGGGGAAATACAACCATGGGCTGGTGGGATTCTCTGATAATGTGCCAAGCTGATCTTGGGCTTCGTGTTCCTGGCTGCCCTTGACCCCAATAGGAAAAAAAAATACGTTCATATCGTTTGTACTTCCATGAATTCACAAGAGTCTCTATGGGATAGTGTGTGCTTACCTGGCCAGGGACATTGATGCAGTAGAGTTGACCCTTTGGGAAGAACTATAAGACCCACTGGTCACATTAGGTCCTAGTGCTAGCCACCATTTGTATTTGACAATGACAGTAGCCTGGGACACTCACTCTAAGAAATATATTTACACAGAGCCCAGTACACATATATACATAATATATACAAAATAAAAAAATTTATATCCACAACACAGACAACAGTGCTTACTTTTACTACATACTCTGGCATTTTTCTACTCTGTTTTATTTTGTTTAAAACAAAAATGCTGATCACATCCCTCTAACCTGATTTTACAACCCACGAGTGCATTGTAAAGGGCAGTTTGCAAAATTTTGCTCTTGATAATTCTCCAGTGCCCAGAAGCAGCGGGTACTGGTTTATTGCATACCTTGCTGAAACTGTCTTATATACTGTCTCCATTATAGGCAGAAAAGAACATTATTCTGGAAGAAAAGATCCAAGTCCTCCAACAACAGAATGAAGACCTTAAAGCAAGGATTGACCAGAACACAGTTGTCACCAGGTAGGAGTCTGGGCTTACAGATCATATGTCACCCTCAAAATGGCCTTTCCCTTAAACATCTTCTCATCTAATTTGCCTTGCTCTGAGCTTCGAAGATTCCTTGTGTAGTCTTTTAGCATTTCCCATATGAGCAGAAAAACAAAACAAAACATGTAGCTGTGACCCTCTAGCCTAAAACCTGGAGGGGAAGCTGGGGAGCAGTGCCCCCCCGCACCAAGAGAAATGAGAACAATTGGCAAAAGCAGGTGGCAGGGGCCACCACCAACACTGGGAGGTCAAGAGATTTGTTTCTGTAGGAGATTGAGAGAAAAACAGCAGTAGAGTGTTCCCAGGCAGAAGAGAACCAACCATCCTACTCCTCCTGGCTTCCAGAATCTTCCTTTTCCATCTCAGTCCTGCCTATCCCTGCAGGATCTGATCTGGGGAGCCCTCACTTACAAGGAAGGGGATGGGTTCCTCACTCCCATAGTGCAGATGGGCCGAGGCAGGATTTTGCTTTGGGGCCTGCTGAGGCTCTTTCATCCACAGGACTGAGCCACCTTGGTGAGACTCAGGCCGGAAGCCTTGCCCACTCTACCGACCTGGGCTCCTTGGTGCACCTATGGTGTGTCCTCCTGTGCACATACACTAGACAGGGCATGCTCGTACAAACACCCACATACACTCACATATACACACACTGGGCACACTCACCTGCCCTCCTGCTCACACACACTCACACTCTACCCTCAGTCACACATTAACCTCACACCCACTCACACATGCTCTTGCACAAATGCAGACACACACGCACACAGCCATTGGCTCTGCAACTGAACCCCTGATGCTGCCTCTTGGTTCTCACTTCAGAGGCACACAAAAGACTGTAGGTAGGGTGCAGGTCACAGTGTCCTTGTCCTGTGGGTCCCCAAGCCCTAGGCTATAGGTGGGCTGTCTCATCTGCCTTCCTGCAGACACAGGCTGAGAGTGGGAGGAAGTGTCAGAGAGGCACTGCCCTCCAGGAATGTGCAAGTCACCCTCATCAGAAGAGCAAATGCAGGCTTTATCCTAGAGGGCTTCAGTCTGTCCAACTGTCAGGTGCACATGTACTTTCCCCTGTCAGTTCCCCAAAAGTGCTACCAATTTGTAAAACATACAACAAACCAGCACCTCAGTCTTCATGAGGGAAGGCACAAAAAGCATAATCGTATTTCATCCAGCATCCTTTATCAGCAAACATTAACCAAGCATCTATTATGTGCCATGTGGGAACCCAGGGAGTCAACAAGCAGAGCCTTGGCCCCTGTCCTCTAGGGCTTCCCATCCAGCGGTGGACAGATACACAGACAGTTTCTGCAGCAGGGTGGACAGTTTCTATGGTGAAGGCTCGCGCCTGGGGCGGGAGGCCAGGGCATGGCACCCCCAGCTGCCTGGAGGCCATCACCACCCTGTGCCATGGCATGGTCAGTGTCCATCTCCATGAGGTTGACTCTCCGCCAAGCCTTTCAGCAGTACACCAGCACTGACCCTGCCTCCCTCCTTTCTTCTCCAGTCTCTGCTATTTTCTGTGGGCACTGGGCAACCAGTATGTACCCTTAACCTTCCAGAAGCCACGTGGGCAGATCACGTGTTGGCAGAGAGGCTCTGGAAATGAATGAGCCAGGGAGACGGAAGTTAAGTTTCAACCAAAGTTCTTGGTCCCTGGGGCAGACCTGTCCTTGTTCCTCGTGAAGGCCATGGCCTCCTCCTCTCCTTGCTCTCCACCCATCCCTGACCTCAGGTTCAGTGTCATTAGCTTCTTGCTGCCTAACTGTTTGTCACCTCCCTCCCCCATGCAGACAGCTGTCAGAGGAAAATGCTAATCTCCAGGAATACGTGGAGAAAGAGACCCAGGAGAAGAAGAGATTGAGCCGAACCAATGAAGAGCTGCTTTGGAAGCTTCAAACTGGGGACCCAACCAGCCCAATTAAACTCTCCCCCACATCCCCGGTTTACCGAGGCTCCTCATCCGGGCCCTCCTCCCCAGCCAGGGTCAGCACCACGCCCAGATGACGTCACCACGCAGCCTTCGGGAGCTCAGGCTTCTGTCCACCCTGGGGAGTGCTGACCATGTGCTGGCCAAGTGCCGGCGGCCGCCCTGCGCGCATGCTCAGTAGCTGCATAATGCATCCTAGGCAGCATCCTCTTCTGACCCCTGTGTAAGACTGTCGTGGTGTTGGCGCTTAGGAAGGTGTAAACGGTAGAGTCTGATGTGCAAAAACGTTTTACCATAGTTAGAGCCAAAAGACAACTCCAATTGTTCTTGAGTGATGAACTTTCACTGCAGAATTTCAGGTTAGTTTCAAATAGCTCAATTTTGAATATACATTGAATAATCATTGTGTACTGCACCGATATGTGTGTATATTTAGATATACGTATATACACATGCAGCGGTTCTGAATTGCATTTTTTATAACGTGATTTGCTGACATATTTTAGTGAAGGTCAGCAGTTTTCTAACTTGTGCCTAAGAATTATTGGGAAATGAAAATGCATTTCTATCCAGCTTCCTAGGAATATTTCTACCCAAAATAGAAAAAGGAAAAAAAAAAAAAAGAAACAGAGAAGAAGCGCCTTTTGATCTACCACCAAGTGGTACTCTAACACAAACACCAGCGATTTGTGAATGATAACTGCCTTTGGAACAATTGGCTTCATAGTCAACATGAGTGAGGTCACTACTATTCCATCTGCAAGTTTTAGTTACAAATCCTCCAGTTGTGAGTGGATGAGGGATAACAGTGGGAAGCCCCAAGGGGGTTGAAAAGTTTTGCCAATGTTACTCATGACAGTGACTCATCTATACAGTCTTGTGACACAAGTTTTGCTTTTTTTCCTAAATGGCATCTTGGAATTGGTCATAAGCTATTAGTGTACCCTCAAAAAAAAAAAAAAAAATACATGGAGGAGCATGACCTTGTAGAGTGAGGGTGAGACCTTGGACATGACCTTGGAGATGACCAAGACCATTCGTGTCCTATCCTCATGAAGGAATACTGCTGATGGATCCATATTTGACCAGGCACAGAATAGAAAAGCATCCTCCTCATTCCATTACAGCTCTAAAGGATGCTGTGAACAGTCAACTCATTGAAATCTGACCCTCAGGCCTGCATTTCCTAGGCAACCCCATTTCAATTTGGTTCTGTATCTCAATCCCATCATTCACATTGAGGTGGCTCAGGGGTTCTAGCAGGGACTTCCAGAAAACCAAACTGTCTAAGAGGTGCTAGATCATCACATGATCTCCCTGAAACCCAGCTGTACTTTCTCCCGGATGATTGAGCAATTCTGTATCTGACCATGGTCCTAACCTAGGACCAGAAGGATCTCCCAAACAGAGAAGCCCAGTGAAACAGCCAGCCAGCAGTCCTCGGCTACTGGACTGGCCATTGTCTCTGAAATGGTAGAATTAGAATGTGAAAGATATTCATGTAGTGCTGTGGACGATTAGGAGCATGATACACAAAAGAAAGAAGTAGTTTAAGCAGTCAATATGGTGATAACAATGCCTTTGTTCCCTGTGACAAAGACCCTGCACTTTTCTCCCCAAAGCCCTCAAAGTTGTCCTGAGCCCAGGTCTACCTTCTAACATGCCCATGACAAGAAGAGCCACTGAGCAGGAAGAAATGGCCCATGGAAGGGCTGGCTTGCCCAGTGTCACACATGTGGCTGACCTGGAGGCAGACGTGGTATATATGCCTCACACCGCTCCAAGTTGGGCTTCTTGGCCTCAGGCATACCTCGTTTCTAGCGAACTTCCAAGGGTTTTGCCCATTCTGGGGACACACACAGTAGCTTCTCCGTGGAGAAACAGTTCTTTTCCCTTTAGTGGCTTTGCATGATCTGTGGTGTTGAGTTGGGCATTCCAGTAGAGTAGATCATGCCACGTTGACTAAACACACAATCTTTATTCTTTCAGCAGGCACAACCTGCAGACACAAATTCAGCTTAGCTCTCCGAATTAGGAACCGCTTCCATAACCGCACATGCTAAAAGCAGTTACACAGCAATACAGACTTCAGTGTGTGATGCTAGAATGTGGTACAGTGTTAGGCTGTTGCGGTCAAAGTCGTAGCAATGTTAGAACTAAGGAATCCCTTACTAGGTGGACTAGAGTTGTGCTCTAAGCAGCCCGGCCCCAGGCTCCGAGCTCATTTCCACACTGCCCTGGCTTAATTTCTTCATCACCAACACCCATCACATATGGCTCCTCATCTGAGCCATTACTGCTCCCCAAAACACAGGCGGCAGTAGCAGCCATGCCTCCTCCTTAATACCTATACCCCACACCATTAGGATTTGGACCTCTCTTGACATGGAAATCTGCCTCCCAGGCTGGGGTGCTGTGTCCTCATGTAGATGCCGCAGTGTCCCCACCTACTGCAGACAGACCTGCCCAACAGCACTGGTCTCTTCAGGGGGTTGGGAGACCTGTCCGGCCCTGTCCCCACTGACTGTTTGCCACAGGCTGGGACAAAGAGGTTCTGGCTGGATGTCATGATGGGGTGGGGCTGGGGCTTGCATTCTCTGGGATTAGTTTAATGGGGCCACAACATTCCTCTTCCTGTCCCTCCAGTTTCTGTGTTGCATATTTGTGTTTAAATCTAAAGCCTATTAAAACGAACTTGAGGGACCTTCTGTGATATCCACTTGATGTAACTGGAGACCTGTCCCTCTCAGGCTGGGGATCCCAGGCAGGAGGCAAGGGAGGTGTTTCGCAGGTGGGGTTCCTTTTCTATGTGCGTGCCAGGGTCAGCAGAGTGTCATGAGAGAAATCTAGAGACTCCCCTGTCCCCAGACTCAGCAGGTCCCTGCATCCACTCTTCCAGTCCAGGGCCTTTGGCAGCTCATGCTGTGGACTTAGGGAGTTTCATGGGTCTGCTCTACCCAGATGGATTGAATCGGAATTGACTAGAAAGAGGACACAAAAGATGGAGTGAAACCCCTCACCATTTATTTAAAATTCAGACCTGGATGAGGATGTTTCTACTCCAAAGAGAGCTCGAACTGCCTTACATTCTGTCCATTTGTATTTGTATCCCCTGTCTTGGGCCCTCCTGTTAGGTGTCTACACTGACAATGGGGGACAGGATGCTGGGAATCTTGGTGACTCTCTTTGTAACACCAAGTGCAACTGGGACATGTCCACTCATTCCAACCTAAAAGTTCTCCCTTCCTCCATCCTGCCACTTGGGGGTATGGCAGGTTTGGCCACCAGGCCTGACCCTGGAGTGTCCAGTTGGCAGCTCGGTTTGCCAGTTCCCTGTGGTGGTTTTAGAGCACGTGGGAGTGCCAGCTACTTTGGGGAGACCTCAGCAAGCCTGCCTCATGAACAAGTGTTGCACAACATTGTCAAACAGCACTGAAGAGTCCCAGTGTAAAGGACACATTTCAAGCCACTTCCTGTCCTCATGAGAAATACCTAAGGACCCCCCTCAGATCACCTGTGCTTCCCAGATCATCGATGGTGACCTCCTATGGATTAATGCTTTATTTGTCAACATGTCCCCACCTAGTTTCTTCTGGGGCAAGTTGGGTGCCTCACACTTTTACAGTAGCTGCCTACCATTGTCCTTGCCCCATCCCTGTGCAGTAAATGAAGCAGATGTCAGCAACTCCACTTAACAAAGGAGCCAAGTGGTGACTCATCCTTGGCATGGGCAGGAAATGAGATTAGCACGGACTCTGTCCTGTCTGCAGAGAAAACACTATCCCCTCCTGTGGCTGATGTAGAGCAGGCAGAGGAGACCCCTGAAATCAACCCAATATTTGTCACCTTCCTTGTACCAAGAAGCCTGGGAGAGTTTGGCTATCCTATATTAGAGTCTTGTATCATCTCAGAGCTGCTAGGGAGGAGTTAAATGCAGGAGGAACCCAGGAGTCGAATGGCTTCCCATCTGCAGGCACAGTTGAAGGTCATCTGCAAAGCTGGTGCTTCATCAGTGCATGGGCATCAAACATTGAATGACTTGTCCTCTCATTCATGGTGACCAGAAGGTGAGGATCCTGCTTGCTCCTGAGTCTGCATCATTTATTTAAACACACACACACACACACTCACACATACCACTACCACCATGACCACTATCCATCACCAAACAGCACCACCACCACTAGCACCACCAACACCATCACCACCATCAACATCACCAACAGCACCACCACCATCACCACTATCCACCATACCATCATCACCAGCACCACCATCACCACCACCACCACCATCAGCAGCACTACCACTATCACCATGGCTACCACCACACCACCATTACCACCATTACCATCACAGCACCACCATCACTGAATAGTGGCAAGCCATTCTGGTTGTTAAGACAGGAAGAATTAATTCACTTAAATTGCATTTGCCAAATATCTTTTAAAAAGCCAGTTTGCTTCTCTGAAACCTCTTGACCCAGACCTCATAAAAACAAAACAGTGATAGACACCTGGGGCTTCTGAATGCCAAGTTCTGTCATTCCCATCTCAGCATGGAGATGCCATCCATTTGCTTCCTCACTGTCTGGAAGTGTTTCCAGTGGGGTAGGAATGCTCTGTATCTCTGAACACCTGTGTGTGTGACCCCCTTCTTCCTCTTGGGCATGTATCACACAGACACCTGAGCAAGTCCTGTAACACAGCTGCTGTCTCTGCCTAGTGACTGCTTATTTTTCTGCACCCAAATGAATGTATCAGGGAGCAGTCTTTAGTTTCCCACCTCCCCCACCGTGCTAGTGGAAGAACACACTCTTATTGTGCAGAGTTTAAAAGCATTGCTGGCAGTTGCCCCCTACCCCGCAGCATGGTTCCTGCCCACTTCCCTACTCATCCTCAGTCCTCTGGGATTAGGGGTTTGGCCTTGCTGAGAGGCCAAGGAGTTTGCTGGGGCTGTTCTTTCCAGTAGCAAAGACACTGTTTTATTCTGAAGATTTTTTTTTCACATTGTATTTTTTTACAGCTATATGTATGGCTTGTAAAACTAAACAAATCCCTTTGCGGGGGCAGACATGCTTATCTACAGTTGGTTCCAATCCTCCCCTTTGCAGCCCCAGATTCTGCCCAGATCTGGGGGGACTGAAGGGTCTGAAAGGCTAGGGGAGTTCCCTGGGCTAGAGTTCCATAGGATTCCTTGGTTACCTGGAATGCTGAGCTCATTTGGGGGACAGCTTTTGATTCACCAGAAGCATCTCACAATCGAACTACATGAGGAAAGGTTTGCCTAGGTGAAGTTCCCTTGGTACTGCAGACTGGAATGGCTGCACAGGGTCTTATGGAGCCCTAGTCTAAGAAATTGCTGAAAAACTGAAGCATCTTTCCAGGCTGCCTTGCAGCACCCAGCAGCAACCACTAGGTGGCAGTGTGGCGCTGCAGGAACCAGGGTCCAGCGCTTGCCTTCTTACTAGACACAGACATCCAGGAACAAGGTGTGCCCGGAGCCTGTGCCCATTTCCCAATTCCAGGATGCATTGAGCACTCTGGGCTGCTTTGCTAAGACAGCGCACTTTGTAAGACCAGGGCTGCCTGTTGGTTCTCTCCTTCCTTTAAGTTGTGTCTAACAGTAATCACACCGGGGGTGGAAGCTACCCTGTGTTCCTGAGACACATGCACATCCTTGTTTTCACACTGCCCAAGCTTGGGTCTGATTCCCTGTGTGGCCAAGGAACCCAAAATGTGTGTGTAGTGCCCTGGCACGGATTTGCATCACACCGTCCTGATTGTAAACACGATGGGCACCAGAAAGAGCAGTTTGCTGTCCTTTCCTGTCCAGCCCCCTGCATGCCTGCTTCCAGTGCTATCCATCAGCTGAGCAAGCGCAAAGGTTAAACCTTATCTTCCAGGCAACCGGTCTTCCAGTATGAATCACTGCACTCAATGTCTGGGAATTAAGACCCACATGGCTGAATTTGCCTTCTGTGCAAAAACAATGTGTCCTTTCTCCAGGGAGCTGGAGGAGTGGGATATCAATCATTAGAATAGCTACAAATCTGCCCCCAGCTCCTTTATGCCCTGCCTGCACCCCAATCCCCCTAACAAAATAGTGAGCATGTCAGCCAAGGTGTCAGTGGAAGGGCTCTTGCTGAGTCCCATGTCCTTCAGTATTTGTCCAATGGCTGGTGACCTCTGGAACCCCAAAGCCAAGCAGGTTTGGAGACGAGGCAGAAAGAAGACACTCACAAATGTGGGTCTGAGGGATTCCCTGGCTGAGGCTCAAGTGGTCGGGATAAGGATTCCCCCACTGGCTACAAGAAAACGAGGCCATATGATTAAAACCATTGGCTATGGGAAAGCAGGAAGACGCTGAAGGAGCTGAGATCTGTAACTTTCCACAGTGGGGCGCGCTTGGGAGGAAGCCAGGCAAAAGCCGCTAGAAGTCTTGAGATCACACAGTATACACGGAAGCCACAGACAGAATTTATTAGATTTTGCAGAAGCATGAGATAATGTACCACAGAATAGTTTGATTTTACAACATAAAGTATGGTAGGAAGTTGTCAATGTACAGTGTAGTCAGCAAAAAGAGAAACAGAGCAGTTTCACATTTTTTTTAAAGGTGATGGATGACACCTGCGCTTGTCCTTAAAATAAAATAAAATATAATAAGAAAACAGGAGGGGCCCAGCAGAGACCAACCTGATTTGCAGTTCGCATCAGAATCTAAATCTAGTATCACCATTATAAGAAACTATAAGAAAACTATTAGAAAAATAGAACATCAAACGAGCAAAAAAATATCATACAATTTACATAATAAAAAACACACAACTCTTTTGTAATGGCTCCATATTCAGTAGAAGAAAAAAACTTCCTGGAGAAACCACAGCTATTCAGGTTTGATAATAAACCAACCCTCATTAGTATCATGACCCTTTTGTGATCCTTAAACCCACTGAAGCTGAAAGGCACAACGGAAGCAGGAAACATATCTTAAATATATATTATAACTTCTCAAATGGGAAAATAAGTCCCCAAACTGAAAAAGTTTGTCATCGAGAAACATGAAACCATATACCTTGTTAATCAATTAACAAAGTCTGAATGCATCTCCCCACCCCTGCTTCCTGACCCTGCTGGACACATTATCCCCTGAGAACATCCTCTTGGACAAGGTCTCTGTCTCACGTGGGTTTCTGGCCGGCTGGCAGTTCAACTGTTAACAGGACGATCCTGGAGGGCTCCTTGGGAACTGTGCCTAGAGCGCCTTGGTCTCACCAGGTCCCTCTGGGAAGAGAGCCTGTGGTTCAATGAAGCAATGGGCACCAAAAGGCTCTGGATTAAGAGGGACAAAGATGAAAGCCGGGTGACTTATTTTTGCCTTGAGAATCCATTAGGCACCATAACCACAATGTCACTTGGAGTGTAGCATCTGGCACCACCGCATCAATGAAGCATTTCATGATCCCTCAAAAGTCTGACAAATGTACTTCTCCCCTGGGAGCCTCACATAGAATACTCATGACCATGGCAAACAGACAGGGTTTGAATTTTACACAATTATACACAACATATACTCAGTTCCGTCTGAACTTGAACTCCGTAAGTTTTGCACATGCATCACACATCCTCTGCCCAAGTAATTCCCGTCCTGGGAGCACAGGAACCCACTAGAGGGTGGACCTGGACACACTCCTCCACCCGTCCATCAACACCGAGGACAGGCGCCCTGGCACTTGGGTGCCAACGGAACTTAACCGTCAGCTCCTATTAGCGAGAAAAAAGTGTCAGTGAACAGGGCACATTCAAATAAAAAAGGAGGGTCCCAGCGGGGAGCCAGGAACGCTCCTGCAGTGAGCCCAGTATGTCCAGCAACGCGTAAGAAAGGCTGGGTGGGGTCTGTGCAGGGCATGTCCACACATGGAACCCAGCCTCCTGTCCAGTACTCACAGCTGTCCAAGGCTCACCGTGCTGGGAAGAGCCTACAGCTAATTCAGAATGCCTGCTCGGTGTCAGCGGGGAGCGGGGAGCAGGCCCCTCACAAGTCTCCCAGCATCCTGCATGAAGCACCCCAAAGTGCAGGGCGGCCCTGGGTCTCCTCCAGATGTGCACGCGGCCACACCAAAGGTGCAGGAGGGGGCGCTCCAAGGCCTTGGTCAGGAAGGATGGGTGTGGAATCCCAGAGACCCCTCGTCCTGCAGTCACTTCCGGCCACAGGCAGGGGAGTGACATGTGGGGCTAAACACTGCCTCAGCACTTGGAACTAGGTGGCTGATTGCCAGACAGAGATAAGGGATTCAATGGAGTTTTTTGTTTGTTTGTTTGTTTGCCAAATGGGGGAAGATTTGAACAATTCTGAAAACAGTATGAATTTAACAGTTTTCTGAGATGGCCCAGGAAAGAGGAGTATACAGTTTTCCCTCTTGGATTGAAACCATGTGTCCAATGCACAAAAGTCCACCTGAGGCGTGGACGGGGATGATGGGAGTGCCACCCAGAAGGCAGCTCTCGTCCCAGCCCGTCACTGGGGTCCCCCGCTGCTGCTCAGGAGACATTCATCACCCCTATTCTTCAGCAGAGCTCCTGGGGGTTCCTACTATTGGCTTCTTCCTAAATCTGAGCCTGGCAAAGAGAAATTTGAGCCTGGCGAGAGAAAGGGTGCTTACTCATTGAAAATGAGTCTTTCTAATCTGAGTATCTGGGCCCGGTGCACAACAAGAGAAGACAGGGCATTCCACAGGATGTGTGCATCTTCAGAAGGTTTGCACATCCTGACTACGTAGGAAAATACCACCCAAGTCCTGAAACTGAGAATGATATTCTTATTTGCACAAGGGGTTAAGAGATGTGAAACTATTCTTTCTTTTTTTCTTTTCTTTTCTTTTTTTTTTTTGCCTGTGTGTTTTTATTTCCGGGGAAGGAATGAGGGATGTGGTAAGAAAAGGCTTATTAAAATTGAGAGGCTCCACCCCAAATACCATTCCATGTATCACTGCCCCTATTACACAGAAAAGCCCCCTGACAAATGCACACAATCTTTAATAAAAGCAATGAACTCTTCATGCAAGTCACCTTATGTGTGCTTTCTGAAGAAGTTTTTCCTCTAACAAGGGAGGGTACAGGGGCACCATATCCCCCACCCCCGACCCCTGTGAGCTTCTGTGTTGCACAGTAAGCATTTGACTGAGGAACGGAGGGCAGATCTGTGGCTGTCAGCATGTTCCCGTGATGGGAGACTGTCTGACTGTGGTCAAACCCCCAAACACCCCTTCCCACCGTGCAGATTGATGACGATACAGGCCGACACATCAACTTGTAAACAGACCATCAAGCGCTGCTTGCACAAAGATTTCAGCCAGAAAGGAAGTTAAAGAAACAGAATGCTCTCTCCCTCCCACCTCATTGCTCACCCTCCTTCCTCCAAGTTCTCTTTGCCTATACAGAAAAAATAACAGGAAAAAAAAAATCAGGCAAACAAACCTAATAGGTCATAAGAAGACAACAGACAACTAAAACCCCCAACAAAATAAGTTAATGTTTATGAAAATATTTTACAGCACCAATCTACATAAATTTAAATACCTTTCTTTGGAAACCCAACCCTTGGGGTCTTAGGATACTCCCTCTGGGACATTCACAGATGCAACTTGGAATAAAGCTTCCAGCAAGTGATCAGAACTGGGCATAATTACCTAGCTCTTGGCCATGGGCCACCCTCCATTGGCTGACCTGGTCTTTTAGCTGCTTTATTTTTATTTTGTGGTGCTGGGGATCAAACCCAGGGCCTCGCACATGCTAGGCAAGAGCTCCGCCACTGAGCCACAGCCCCAGGCTAGTTTCACTAACGCTTACGTCTCTCTAAGAACCTCCTGGAACAAAGGGGAAAAGACAAGAGCCATCAGTCAATCAAGTTTCTTCCCACCCGATTTGCATCAATGGCCAGGCAGGAAAGAAACAGGAATCTAAGCTTTAAAAGCAGCAGCTACTTCTCTGTGGTGTCTAAAATGCGGCTCGCTCTCACCCTCCCTGTGGGCTCCGGTGGTACTTTAAATGGACGTGAGGCTCCATCAGCATTCCCCTTCCCTGGGCTTCCATCTACAAGGAGTGTGTGAAACGGTGTTGGTCCTGGGTCCCACCCCAGCTACAGAAGGAGGGGACAGAGTGCAGGGTATAGACAGGAGTCACAGAAGGACACTGAGGTCTCCGCTGGACCTCAATGGCATGGAAAGCCGCAGCATCTGGACCACAGATACACAAGAGCAACAGGACTCCAAGTTGCCTCCTTGTGGACCACACACCCCGACCCACAGGCCAGCGGCTCACAGTCATTGTTTGGCCATTTTCCAAGTTAATGTTAAGCCCCAACTTAATCTGGTGGAGTGATTCACAACTAACAGGAGGATTCAATTTCCTTATACATCAGAAGCCAAACAGACCATGTCAGGGGGCAGAAGTGTCACAACCGCACACCGAGCTGCCACCTGTTTTGAGAACCTTATAAGATCCAAAAGACTGGTGCGCAAGCCACCAGAGGGCAAGACTTAGTGAATGGAAAAGACCCCAGAGTGTGAAACTCTTCTGGGGCCAGTCCTACACAAACACAGTGTTCTAGTTACTCAGGACACATGGCCAGCAGCGACAGACACCAGAGCAGCAGGAACTCTTCCTGACCTCCAGGAACGGGACTGGAGAAGGTCCCCTGGTCTATGGGCATGCACGAGACAGCCAGCCCTCCCCTGACCTCAAGGCCTTTGTTCGCACCAGAAGCCTCTCATCTTCGGTGCCTAGGATGAACCGCCTGCCCTCGGTCCTGCTCCCCCGCGGTGGGCTGGGTCTGTGACGGTGTCAGAGCCAACCTGCTCAGAGGGCACGAGCAAGGGAAGTCTAACAGCCCTGTTATTCTTCTAGTGAATTGCTGTCACTCGGCTCTGGGGTGGCACTGCTGGGGACACACTGTTTTGTGGTACTCATCTTGCATCTATGGCCGGCTGTTTGGGGCTGAGGGGGGAAATGGCTACTAGAGGTCTGGAGTATGTATGCTTGCAATACCAGAGCAGTCCCCAGGGAGGGAGACCAGGTGACCTCCCCTCTGCTGGGGGCCACAGCAGCACAGCCGGCTGGCGAGGAGAGGGGCTGTTTCCTTTGTTCAGAGGGAAGTAAGGAGATATATGGCCAGCCACAGCCAGGTGGCCCTGGCCAGGGAGCTGTCTGGAGGAGGCCGGGGCCTCAGGCGCTGGCTGCGGCTGCAATACGGTTAGTTGCACCTTTGGTGGCACTGGGGGTGTCGAGGACGAGGGTGGTTCCTATTATACTGCTGGAGAGTGAGGTGCTGCCCAGTCCTCTGCAGACATCCCTCGGGGCTGCCACAGCTCTGGCCAGCGAGGCTGCATGTCACTTGCACTGGTTCAAATTGCCGTCGGGAGTCTTTGCCTGGTCAGTGCCCAGGGACGCCTCCTCGCTGTGCCACAGCCCATAGCCGAAGTAGATGACGAAGCCTGTGGGCCAAAAGCAGAGCAGAGGCGTGAGCAGGGTGGGCGGGGCTACCCAGCACACGCGGGGGCTCAGGTGCAGAGGGCCGCCGGGGCGCGGACTTCTCCATCTGCACAAACTGGGCACGTATATAAGGTCAGCCAAGGTCATCGACTTACTTCTCCTATGCAAAGCTACCCACATCCTTCCAGACGTCCTCACACTGCCCCTTCCTGAGCAGCTGGGGGCTGGAGCCTCAGGGCCCCAGCTTAACCCCTACTGCTCCTGACGAAGGTGGGATTTGGGGCAGGTTCTTGGCTTTCTGCCTAGTCCCACTGCAGGTGAGGGAACCTACTCAACCTGAAAAGCCAGCATCCGTGACTCCAAAGGTGTTAGTGGGGCCTGCAGCCTAGGCTTCTAACCCCTTGCCCAGGGACTGGCCAGCGGCCCCAGGGCCACCTTTTGCGGTTGACACATGGGAAGAAGCTCAGGAAACGACCTCACAGGGACTTCTACGGGGGTGGTAGGAAGAGGCGCTCCTCACCACCACCAGCAAGTGGCCACAGTGGGCAAAAAGCAGCTGTTTTAACGAGTGCTATAGAGTCTAATCTCACAGGCGAGACTGCAGAGGAGGACCTGTCCCTTCACCTAAAGAGGAGTATATGTCCTTGAGAAAAAGTGCCGCTGGGGACCCTGGGACACCAAGAGGTAGCAGCCATCTTGCTATAGCACCTGAACCCAGGGCTGACAGTCTTGTCAAGGACACAGCCCTCAGGGCAAAGGTCAAGGAGGGGCTCCTGGGCATCAGTGTGAGGACTCAGACACTGAGAGGAGAGACCCAGGTAGAGCCCCTCCAGGACCAGGGGTCAGAGGCCCACAGGGACTGGGACACAGCCCTAGAGAGGGTTCACTGACACCCAGACCAGGCACCCCTGGTCGTCACATGTCAGGAAAAAGAGAATGAGTCCTGTCAAGAGCCTCCCGGCCCTGGAAGTACCTTCCCCGGGCTCTGAAGTGCTGTCCTTCTGTGAGGAAGACACTATCATCAGTCGGTGATCCCATGCCTGCCAGGGTCTACAGTCCCACACAGACCCGGTGCGGGTCAGGCTGCAGAGGGCCCAATCCAGATTCTTCCGAATGGAGTAACAGGTATCTTATCACCAATACTCCGAGCCTGGTACTTAGTAACATCCAGCCCCAGCCTAACAAGGTAACCAGCTTGGGCAATAGACTCTTACCTTGAAAAGTATCTAAAAGGGAGGGGAGAACCCACAACCTACCAGGGGGGCCTAACATTGTTTTAGAAAAAACAGTTGATGACGTGTTTCCTTGTGTTATGAAATCTGGAACGAAGGAGGGTCTGTGACATTAACCTCCCAGCCAAATAGCAGGCAAGACAAATGAGCAGCCCTCATAGGCCTGAGGGCAGGGGGAGGCCCCAGGAGAAGGTGGAAAAACCCCTGACCTAACATACCTATGAGCATCCACACAGCAAACCGGACCCACGTGCCCTGGTCCAGCTGCATCATGAGATAGATATTCACAAAAATGCTCAGGACAGGAAGCACCGGCAAGAAGGGGACCTGCAGAGACAAAAGGCGGTGTCAGATCACAGAGGGTGGCGACTGCAATGCACATCCCCACACCTCCAGTTCACACGGACACGCCCACCGGCAAATCCCAGTAGGTGGAATTGGATTCCAAGCCACTAATTGCCAAAGTGAACTTCTTTCTAATTTTCCTCTCATTATTCTCCACTTCATCTCTAAGGCAAAACTATTTTATGATTCGTATAATCTAAAAATGTAGAAGCTTGGAAATGACATGTAATCCACTGAGACAGACATTTACAGTAAGTCCCCGTGGACGAAGTGCACCCCATCACCCGAGAGTCACGGCTTTACTCAGCAGACACCCCCTGTGTCCTAAGGATCCCTGCCCCATTTCCCAAGGGCAGCTGGCCTGAGCACCTCTGGAGCACCAAGGTCTGGAACAGCCTCCCAGCAGGACCAGGTCTCAGATCTACCAGGAGATTCCCCACAGGTCTATTAAGCTGAGGTGCTCACCTTGAACGAGAGCTTGGTTTTGCTTTCGGACTGCCTCCAGATGATGCCCGTGACCAGTGCACAGAGGAGGATAGATCCCGTGACCAGAAAGATTGCCCACAGCTCCCCATTGCCCAGAGCCTCTCTTCCAAGCACGGCCACCAGGCACAATATGATGATAAGAATTGCTGAGAGGGAGAGAAAAAAAAGAGGGGTACAGCTCAACCAGTTCTCAAGTTCCTACAGGTACCCTCCATTCTCCCCAAAAACCTGTCCAGAGGGAACTTCATTTCTGTGGAATCAATTACAATTTGGACAGAAAAATTTATGTCACAGTCTGTTAGCAAACCAGATATTCATCTTCTCCAGCAACGTCCCCCCCACCCCATCCCCATTGACAAGAAACCCTACAGTGCCAACAAGCAAGTCCCCACACCCCTTACAGGGAAGAGGCAAGCTCTTACCTATGAGGCTGGCTGAAATGTTCACAACTAGCCCAGACAACTTGGAAGGCTCCATGTTTTTGGGTGACAGTATAGCTTTCAAAGAAAACTTCTCTGCTTCTGGTAAAAAGCCTGTCTGGGAATCACTGGTGCTCACCAGTTCATTCTGGTCGACTTGATCTAGCTCATCACTGGTTCTGGCCATCTGGTACACCAGGTTCGGCTGTTCTGGCTGATATCTGGAAAGAGATGCATGGGGCATGACCACTGTAATCTGCTTTCATTAAGGGAAGAAGCACACAACTGAAGTTCTCAGCAAGCCTTCAAAGATAAATTGCCCGAGACACAAGGCATGAAATAGGACAGAGAGGGTCAGAATGGTATAGAGACTGGGAAGAGACCTGGGTACTTCTTCCAGCTTCTCGGTAACACCCTCAATGTCTGTTTTGGGGGAATATGACCTCCACTGTAAGGCAACTCAGTCAATGTCCCAAGAGTTTCTCTACGAATGTGAAGAAGGGACCCTTGAATGTTAAGATATTAGGCCACTTCCCTCAAAACCATGTTTGCAGAGAGCTAAGAGTAAGGACAGAAATAGAAAGCAATAACACTAGAATCCTGTTTGGTGCAGAGAGCCAGAGAATCCTGTCTGCAGGCTGATGGATTTGAGAAATTCTGTTTGCGTGACCTAATTGGATCAATTTATTCTAAAACTCCAAGAGCCTTGGAGTAAATAACTCTATAGAGCTGGGTGAAGGACCGAGCCTGAGGCATGATTTCCAGGACAGGAGCTACCTGCAAGAAAAGCTTCCATTTTAAACGTGGTTCCTTATCTTTGCCCAAAATGAACAAAGTGCAACTCTCTTCCACAGCTTCGAAAAACAGAATGCCTTTTAAATTCTTTTGCATATTATCAATTCTAAGAGTGAGCAATAAAGATAGTTAATTGTTTTTGCACAGAGTCTCCTGTGTAACATGACCTTGGTCAATTAAGAAAGTGGAGGAAACTTTGAGAACATTCTAGCATTGTGCCAAGGGAAGGAAGGAATAAAAGGCATGTAGAATAGTTTTAGCTGATTCTACAAAGCCACCACTGAGGCTCAGCTCAGGTCCTATGTAAATTAGGTGCTGAGTACATCAGAAATGGGACCAACGGCCTCACAAGTATAAATACCTGAAAAGAAATGAGGACGTTCTTGCAGGGTGACCAACACTAGAGTCTCCATGAGCATATGGTCTCATGACAAGTGCCACCTTGGGCCATCCCTGGGGTGGAGCCCTGTCTCCCCACAGTAAAAGGAAAACTGAAGCCTAGAGCTGTGCTTTGGGAGGAGGTACTGGGGTGGGTGAGAACACCAAGCCCTGATCTTGGGCCCAGGAGCCACTTCACTGTGACTGTCCTCAAGATGGAAAGAGCCAGACCCAGGAACATGTCCCTGAAAATCAACCGAGGCCACCCACACCAAGCAAGGGGATTCATTTTCCCAGTCACAGTGCAACCAGGCTCCAGGAGCATCACACAGTTCCTTGGATCCTCCCAGTGCCCTCCAGGGCCAGGGCCCAGTCCCCTCTATCCCAAGAATTTGGACAGTTTTAGTCATTACCCTAAACCTTCAAAAATCTTAATCCCAGGATCCAGACCCAACAGTGGAGCTGAGAACCATCTGTATCTTCCTAACTTCTACCCAGAAAAAATGAGGGCACATGATTCAGGAAGGTTGGAGCCACCCTGACTCTTTTCAAGTGTTTCCAACTGCCACACCATACACTGTCCTTGGCAACTTCCAAAGGAGCTGTCACCAACCTAAAAGTTATGCCACATTTTTTATTTTATTTTATATTTTTTAGGAGAGAAAGAGAGAGAGAGAATTTTCTAATACTTATTTTTCAGTTTTTGGAGGACACAACATCTTTATTTTATTTTTCTGTAGTGCTGAGGATCGAACCCAGCGCCGCGTGCATGCCAGGCGAGCGTTACCGCTTGAGCCATATCCCTAGCCCAACACATTTTTTTTTCATATTTTATTTTAAGACAGGGTCTTGCTGAGTTGCTAGGTGCCTGGCTAAGTTGCTGAGGCTGGCTTTGAACTCTCAATCCTCCTGCCTCAGCCTCCTGAGCCGTTGGGATTATAGGCATGTGCCACCATGCCCATCCACATAAGCCTTTTATTAGGATGTTAAATGGCTACACGCACCTACCTTTGTCATGGAGCCCAGAAACGCCATACGTACCGTAAGACTAAAACACAGGCTGCCACCAGAGAGTACGCCAGGAGCGTGCCAATGGACATGAGGTCCACCAAGTCCTTCAGGTCAAAGAGAAAGGCCATCACAGCTGGGGAGAAGACAGACATCAGGATCCACAGATGGTCCTCTGCAGAGGTCAACACCGGGACCACCACCCACCACCTGTGGCCTAGGGCACACGAGGCGCACTGCTTTTACTCCCAGCCCCAATCCCAGCCTTTCCATGGAAAGATACTGCTTCAAGGGAAGACAATGTTCAGGATTAAAACATAGACGCGGTTTTCAACAGATGGTAGCCATAATTAATAGTAATAACTAACATTTGTATAAAGAGGACTTTTATCCTTTTTGATCCCCATTGATAAACTTCGCAAGCCATCCCTACATACAGATGGAGAAACAGAAGTTTAAGGTTTAGGAGACTTATCTAAGGTTACACAGCTAGTGAACGGAAGTGCTGGAATCTGAAGTAGGTTCCTGTGACTGAGTCCTCTACACTCAACTGACTCACAGACAGTCATGTCAGTCCATCCATCTATCCATCCATCAATTATCCATCCACCTGCCATCCACCCTTCATCCATCCAATCAGTCATCCACCCATCCATCCACTGTCCATCCAACACTCATCCATCATTCTTCTATCCATCTATCATCCACTCATCTGTCCTCCATCCAGCACTGTGACGGTCACTGGGTGCTAGATATACACCACCAAACTGGCCGATGGCAACAAGGATAGGAGGCAGCAGAGGCCAGTCTGGTGCTCTGGGAAGCCTCGCGGGGCTCCTAACCAGGCAGGTGAGTAGGGAAAGTGGAGCTATTCTTCACGTGTTAAATCGCTCCACATGGGAGAAACTTGGAAGAGTTTTTTCCAAATGATATCAGCCCCGTCATCATATCCCCCCCTGCCTCAAAAAGAATTGAACGTGCATGCTTGAACTAGGCCTGTAGCTCCGAGGTAGAGCACTCGCCTGGCATGCACAAAGCCCTGGGTTTGATCCCCAGCATTGCAAAATAAAATTAAAAAAAATTTTTTTAAAGTGTGGGTTTTGAAAATTTATAATTTCTGCAAGATGTGTGTCTATTTATGTCAGGGTCCATGTCAAGTTTCCCATTTTAAAAAGGAACTTGGCAAGACCTGCTTTGGGATATTTTCAGATCACATGTAATCAATACAAGTTAAAACATAAACATGAAAACATTATTCTCCACAAATATTTCTGGAGCCCCACTAGATCACTGCACACCACACAAATTTAAATTGAGGATAAAAAATAGGATTAAAGAGCAATGAAGGCCTTCTGGATAATTAGAACAGTATCCAACTGTGCATGCCAAAGATGCCTACGTTCCTACTCATAGAGAAACCCGAGACAAATTTCTTCCATGTGAGGTGATTTCAGAAAACCAAATACTTATCACTCTTGCCAAATGAAGAGAAAGCAAATCCCTGGCCTGGTGAGTGGTATGTGCTTTATAACTACTTAACAGATTACAGTTTGATCTCCTTTTATTGGCACGGGGAGGAAATTAAGGCTTGTCTTTTGTATGATCAACTCACATGTAAACACTGAAAAAAATTACTATTTCCAATTCCTTAGTCCTTCAGATGTACTGGTCATGTTCTGATATATAGCCCCCTTTGACCTGACCACCTGGATCACTTGCAAGAGTGTAAATTACATTTAAAAAAAAAAAAAAAAAAACATTGAATAATTTAAAAATTGCTTTCTTCTTTTATATCTATCTACCCACAGAACTAAGCATGCTCTGCTAGGGCCTAAGTAACATAACTTAGTAAATAATTCATGCATTGAAGACGGTCAAGTGTCTTGCCAGTGGCCATTCCACAAATCACAGAGGTACCAATCCTGACTGGTGTGTGACTGTCATGTGTCCCGATTTATCAGAAAGAACCACAGCTCTAGGTGGCCTGGCTGCTTTGAACATAAACACAAACCAGGAATCAAGGATCACCTCTGCCCTTCCTGGGTATGCATCTTCCCTCCATCTCTCTGGGCCTCCATTTGTACATCTGTACAATGGGATGGAACCCGACTCTCAGTGCTCATGCAATCATGAAAAAAATCAAGAAAGAAGGAAACTACGAACACATTAATGGAGCAGAGTGCATGAAAGCAACCTCTCACTTCCCCTTTCCTTCACTGGGGTCCCTGGAACGTGACACAGTTCAGAGAGCTCCTTATTCCACTGATTTCATCCGTCAAAACTGACCTCTCAGAGATGGACCTGATTTGATAAGAGAACCCTCCTCTGGGTCTGCCATTGTTTATAAACTTAGAAGCAAAAGGCTTCATCAGTAACACTCTCAATATCCTCCAGGGAATTGGTGGCACGTTGTATTAAACACCAACTTTTAGGGACACTCATTTTCCAGAGAATCTATGGGTGAAGATTCAAAGACATTGGATTTCCAAGGAATAACCCAGTGTCTCACTTGGCTTGTCTCATGCTAGTTGCCAGCCTGCTGAAGTCTACCGAGGGACACGTTCAAGGTGGGAAAGCCAAAGGTTGTCCTTGGAGAGGGTAAGGAGAGCTCACACTGTCTGGGAATTCCATCATGCCCTCTGGCCTCTCTGCCTTCTGTCCAAGAAGGGGCAGTTATCTTTCAATGAACCAGTTCAAAGTGCAAAACCCAAGAGTTAAAAAGGCCAGTGAAGATTTCTCAGACAGGTGTGATTGATTGGTGCCTTCCCAGCCTCCCTGGGGAGTGAGAACTCAATTATTAAGACGCTAGCATGTGAAGTGAGTTCCCGAGCTTACCAGCAATGGCACCTGATGTCAGTGTGGCGATTATAGGGGTTTTGGTCCTATCATTGATTTTGGCCAAAAATTTAAACAGCAGTCCATCCTCAGCCATGGCGTAGATAACTCGTGGCATGGGAAACATGGAACCTAGAAGACTAGGCAGAGGAAACAGCAAAACACGTGAGTAAAACAAAATGCGCTCATCAGGAACAAAGGCGCCATATGCTACCGTGCACAATTTACCACCGAGGAGAGGAGGGAAGCCGGTATTTCTCACCAAGACCTGGCTTCCCTCCAAACTGTGCAAAGCCCACCTCAACCCCAGGAAAAGCACATACTGCAAGAGAGGGCTAGGGTAAAGAATGCAGAACGTCTAGTGTAAACTAACTTGTGATCCAGACGTAATCATTAGGAAAGGGAAGTTTTGTATTTATTCATACAATTATTTCTAGTTGAATCAAACAAAATAAAAGCAATCACGCATTCATGAGGATTTCTCTCTGGCAAATCAATATTTAGCAAATAGATCCTGTTTACGCAGGCTGGCAGGAAATACCCAGGGCAAAATGTTTCTCATTACAAGGCCCTTACTCCTTTTTTTCCAAAGTAGTTCCTGCTTTCTAGTCAAACTAAGGGCCAACGGGGGGGCAAAAGAGGGCCCTGTCCAGAGGCCAAAGTTAGGGTCAGGGTGTAAGCCCCTGTTAACCAGATCACATCCAAACATTGGCCTCAGGCTCTTCAGGATGAAGACCCAGTTCTCTCCCCTGGTCCATGGTCTTGCTATCTGTGGTTACAGTTACCCATGGTCAACCACAATCCCAAAGTATTACATGAGAAATTCCAGAAATAAACCATTAACAAATGCTGAATAATTTGTATCGCATTATATTCTTATAATTGTTTTACTTAATTATTAGCCAGTGTTGTTAATCTCTTACTGAGCCTAAATCATAAATTAAACTTAATCACAGGTACATAAGCATTGGAAACAATGTCATACATGTATGCATTCAATACTGTCTGTGGTTTCAGGTATCTCCTGGGAGTCTTGGAGCTATCTCCCCATGGATAAGAAGGCATGACTGTATCAATAACACAGCAACTTTGGGGATGATTAAAAGCAATGGCGAAGAAAAAAAAAATACACAGTCCAGGCTGGGGTGCTGGCTTGAGTTCAAGAGAAAGGAGGGTTTTTAGTGGTGAATCCACCCGTCATGGCTTCTCATGGTTTTTACAGCCTTCCCCCTTCCCCAGAGTGCCAGGCTCCCATGAGAAGCATCCACAGAAGCCCCTCTCACCTGGTGGAAAGTGCGCAGAGCGAGCCCACAGCCACTGCATACTTGGCGCCCTCCCAGCCCACATGCTTGAAGGCATCAGGCAGGGGGCTGTCTATGTCCAGGCAGAAATAGGGCATCATGAGCGTGAGGGCGGCGGACACCCCGAAGTATGCAATGAAGCAAATCAGGAGGGAGGCCACGATGCCCACAGGGATTGCCTTCTGGGGGTTCTTGACTTCTTCACCTGGAATCAGCAAGGACTCAGCCAAGGAGGGTCAACAGCACGAGGCAGCCCAACCACCCACATGACACCCAGGACCCCTCAGTGTCAGGGAACCCACGCAATACCAAGAACAGCCCCCTACGGTGCTCAGCCCCACAGAATGGGCCCTCCTTGCTTCCTACTGTGGAGGGGCAGCCCTGGGTGACGCACACAGGACGGCCCACAGCCTAGGGTCGGTGCTCTGTGCCCTTGTGCTGTGGTCGGCTAAGGCAGACACCTGTTTCCTTTGGCTGAGAAAACGTGAAAGGCTCCAGGGAGCGGGGCCTATTCAGTCCACCAGGATGACACTGTTTCTAATGGCCTCGTTTCTCCCAGATGATGCAGATATGAAACCAGGCTGCAGCCAGGCCGTCGTTCTCCCCTGCTAACCAGCTCTGTCAGTTATGTTCATGAGGCAGTTTCCTGGCAGGAACTGCCACTCGAGGAAGTGATAAAGGGGGTGGGGGGACATCAGCAGGAATCACAGATCTGTGCGTTACTAGTGGGCAAAAGAGCAGCAATCAGAAGGTGCCAGCAGGAAGGGAGGTGTCACATCGTGTTGGCCACGGGTGGCATGAGTCCCGCCTGCCTGCTGGGGGATCCCGGTGGGGGCGTACCTGTGGTGGCGATGCAGTCAAAGCCCACGAAGGCGTAGAAGCAGGTCGCTGCCCCTGACAGGACACCGGAGAATCCGAAGGGCATGAATCCACCCATGTCAACTTTCCCTTCTTTTGTGTCACTAGAAAAAGAGTCAAAGATTAGGACATCTGTGGTGCAGTCTGGTACAAGGAGTGGAGTGTATCTCCTAAAGAAAAGTGACCACAGACTGTCCCCCCACCACCCTGTTAGACCCAGGGCTTCAGACCCTTAGGCCACCATCCTTAGGCTGGGGCATTTTAACTCTGTGGATAGCAGGACTCTGTCTTTCCGAGTCCAGAGCCACAATGGTATACACTATCCACCCTTCCAGAAGCATCTTTTATGTACTGACTTTGGGAGAGACAGGCAGGGAGTCCAACAGGAAACAGGAAGACTCTAGCCACTGTGGCTGGTCCCATGCCCTCCTCCCCAGACCCTCAGGGAAAGACATGAGCAGCCAGTCAACTGCAGTGTCCCTGTCCCAGGTCCCCTATTTATCAGTACTCTCAAAACAGATATTTTCCTGGAGACTAAGGTTAAAAAAAGTGAATTGTCCCTGTCAACCCTAGCATTTCTGAGGTGCCCCTATCCACCAGGTCGTGAGCTGCTGACATGCCCTGAATAAAAATGAAGGATGTCACCCTTGATGGTTCCTTTAAACAACCGGGGGGGGGGGGGGGGCGCACCAGGAAGGCTGAGGACTCTATGCCAAGGAGGAGGAGAGCACAGGGAGCTGCATCATTACTAAACCCCAGAGAGACGGGCAAACACAAGGGCAAGGAGTGGCTGAACGCGCTTTCGTCATCCAGACAGATAACAAAAAAAGTGTGGGAGAGACGGAAGGAAAGGGCTCTGGGTGATGCATGGAGGGAGGAGGCAAAGGAAAAGATAGCTACTGGTTCCCAGGACTGTGTTGGGGGGCACCAGATGACCCCTGAAGCTGAGGGACAGAGGGCCAGGTGGACTCCTAGAGCCGTGAGCAGAGGTGAACCACGGCAGCTGTGGCCCCCGCTGCACCTGCTCCTCAAACCCCACCTGACACTAGCGAGGCCAGATGTCGGGACACCATCAGCTACAAACAGGAGCAAGGTCCTGCCATTCAAAGATCTGCGGGGGACGCTGGCAAGTAAAACCGACCAGGCGCAAAACAACAGAGGAGAAAGGGAAGGAATAGGACGCACACTCTTGCACTCGATCATGTCTGTGAAAAGAAAAGCCAGAAGCTTACACACAAAAAATAACACAAATGACTCCCCACTGGGGGTGGGCAGGAGAATGAGGCAGATGAAGAAAGAAACGGGAACAAGATTTTTCAATGGAAATCTTAACATTAGGATATACGAACCATGTGATTATTTTACTCCAAAAGTTAAACTCAGCTTTTAAGTTTGGGTGTTCCTGGTCCCAGAGGCCCAGCAGGGATGGAAACATAAGCACAGAACCCGCTCCACGGCGCCTCAAGCCACAGCGTTTACAAGCATTTTTAGAGCCTCCTCATATACCATCAATTATTAAACTGGCACATGCACTTGGGCGTGGGTCCATGTGTCACTGGCACTGCCACCGTGGGTAAACAGGTTCATGGGGATGTGAGATACTGCCACCACTGCCACCTAACCAATGGCAGCTGGTGACAAAGAGAAGCTACACCCAGGCCTCAGTGCAGCGTCTGTCCCTGGCAGTCTGGGTGACCAGCCTTTCTGCATTCCACTCAATGGGTTACTGAGACGTTAGAAGGAAGACAGCTGACAACGTACGGGTCTGTGCCACTAGGTATCACCCTCCGGTATCCTAACATCTCCCTGCCACCCTGACATAACTGTTGGCTGTCCCTGACCGGGACATCTCCCACTTCTTCTACCTTATTTTAGTGGGCCACATGGCCACTCGGAATCGAGACTGTGCACTTCTCAGATCCTCCAGCTGTAGGTGCAGGCACTTGACTGTGTTCAAGGACATCAAAGCAGACATGGTGTGCACATCTTCTGAGAAATGCCCCAGATTAGGGCGGGGAGGGAGGGTGCTCTTCTCCTTCCTGCTGGACGGAGTGGGAGGAGCCATTGTGGGCTCTGGGGTGGTCTTGGAAATGTGGGTCATGGACAAAGCGATGAAATGGAAGAAGTGGATTCCTCATCCAAGGAATGGAAGATGTTGGACTGACCATGTCCACATGTTGACTGCAGAAAGCTACGTCTATCTCAGGAAGTCCGTGTGATTTTTCCACCGTAACAGACATCACCCAACAAAACCTCAACAGACTGCCATGTGACCTGGATGAGTTTCTGTTACTTCATGTGTTAGCCATTTCCAGGACATTGGGTAAAGCCAGAGTGGTGGCAAGGAGCTATCCAGACAGAGGGTGTCACTCCTGTCCCAGACCCAGAGACAAAACAACTTAGGCTGGAAGGCTTCCCTACCAGTCACAGAAAGAAAAGTCATCAGAAAATCCTCCCAACCTCGCACTCCGAAGCTCCCGTGTCATCATTTGGTTGGGAAAAGCCCCGTTATTTCAGTGGGACAAGCAATTTCATGCAAGACTTCATGGTCATTGTCATAGACACAAATCTGCAGCTGGAGATTTTAATAAAATGAAAGAACCAGCTCTTCTGCCAGCCTACAGAATCCACTTCTTAAAGTGGCTGGTCCCTTGCCACCCCAACAGCAGTGTCCCAGGTCTACAGTTGGAACTGAGGAGCACCACCCGTGACCAGGAGGCCAGGGCAACAAACACTTCTCTGTCTGGAAGACCGGCGCAGTTCATCATCTCCAGGGCAACCAGAGAAGGATGACCCATGAAAGTGACACCGTGGCTGACACAATCAATCTCTTGATAGAAATAATAAAATTAAATTTTGACTAGCAACCAAGAAACAAGAAGAGCCCTCTGTATTTCATTCCTGACCTGAAAACAGGAACCAGCAAAATATGCTCTCAAAGTTTTCAAAGTCTACTATGACAGTACTTCAAAGCATATTTTGAATTGGCTTTACTCCACCCTGAATTAATAAATTTGGTATAAATACGGCTCTGGAATGCTGGGGAATGATATGGTAAAAATCCTTATTTCTCTGTCATAGTGTTTGGAAAGGGAAGGCTGATTTTTATTGGAACTGATAACCACATAATAGCAGCATTAGTGATGTTTCATGCATCTCATTCAACACCTCCCTGTTCACATTCCAGTAGTCATACATCACACTCTTGCTGATCATACCCCTGGCCCTTAACCAATGACCAACTTGGTTTGTGTTAATGCCGAGGTCCCTGGTGGGACACAGTGTTCCTCTGCCTTTCTTATAGCTAGATGTGGCCACCCACTAGGTCCTGCCAAAGGAATGCAGACAGAGCGACATGTGCCTTCTGGGTCCATCTTCAGAAGCCCTAGGCACACTCTCCCCAATCTTCTCCTTTCTGGAAAAGCGGGCTCATGCTTGTGCCCATAGCGTTGCACTGACCAGGCAGGGGAGGACAACAAAAGAAATCACTAGGGATGACAGATGGGACAGAAGTCTGGGCTTCCAAACTGACCAGCCACTGCAGGAATGCTCACAAAAGGACCTGGCACATCAATGTATGACGAAAAGCTACTGCATATGAGGAAGGTCTCCACCATATAGCAGTTGAACCATTAGCCTCAATGAAAACAATCACAGATAAAACCAAACTCTTCTCCATCCTGGGAGACTAAGATTCACCTGAAAATCTAACAGAGGATGAAAAAGATACATTGATTGTTTGCCTTTGTTTCCTAAATAAGAGCTGTTTGGGGAGGGCTTCCTGGGTGGAAGCCAGCTCTCCACCCACCTTCAGCTCTGGGTATCCGGAATGACAAACATCAGGGTACAGGGGCCCTCCTGTGTCAGGGCTCGGCAGCTCAAGACAGATGTGAAAGAAAGATCCCCTGATCAAAGTTCCACATTGATAATATCATAGGAAGGTGTTTCGAAATAAAGTGGCATCACCAAGGAACCGCAGAGAAAATCTTTTGAATATGAAAATTCACAGGTTAGTCTTGTCAGCAAAAATAAGGAAAAAGATTAAAGAGTCTCACAACCACCCTGGACCACATAAATTTGAAGTTCCTCGTCAGGCAATGTTCTGTCCAGGGAATAAACCTTAGCAGAAACTCCAAACATACCCAACACCCTCAGCTCCTTCACTGTAAAAAACAGCAAAGCAAAACACCTTAACAAATTCAGATGATATTAGTTTTGAAAGGCAAATATTATCTTAATCAATTACATCCCCAAATATGTGTGTGTGTGGTGTTAAATACCAAATATGGAGAACTGTCACCTGCCAAGAGACGGGAGAAATGACTCACTTGTTGTGATGGGGATTGCAGGATGAATTCCGGATATCCTCCGGTGTCAGTTGCCAGTTTTGGATGGATCCTTTCACAAATCCTGACACCACTATGAAGCCCAGGACCAGAACATTGATACAAGTGAAAATTTTGTTGACCATGGCTGACTCCTTCACCCCAAGAGTTAAGAGTCCTGAAAAAGGGGAAAGAGACAACTCTTGAGTGTGTTAACCACACACTGGGTTAAGTCCCCCCAGAGATGGGACAGGGACCTAAACAATCAAAGTCCAGGCAGTGCTTCTCCAGATACCCAAGTTGGCTTGGCTTTCCAGATCCTCTTGGGAACTGAGGACCCCCACCACGGGGCATGAAAGGGCCACAGCGATCCGTGTCGAGCAAGCAGAGGACTGACAACCTGCAGGCCAAGTCACTCCCGCTTTGGGGAAGGACAAACTATCTGCTCGAGCAGAGTTTCACTTTCTCTGAGGAGATGCCGTGCTCCGTTTCTTGGTACCAGGAGAGTTTTTCAGATGACAAAAATTATTCAGATGGACTTTGGGATGTTAGTCATGCTGGCAGGAACGACCATTTGTGGTTTTGGAACCACGAACACAGATGGTTCCTCGTTGGACTCTGGATATAACATCATGTCTAAGCTAGACCAACTGTAGCTGGTAAACTCAGACTTTTAAGACAACAAAATGAAACAAACATAAAACCGTACTAAGTGAAATAAAACAGCTCAGGGACCCCACGATAGCTCAGGGGCACATGACGGCACTGTTTTTGAGGCATGGGCTCCAGGATCACCTTAAGGTGATCACGCCATTTGGGGACTTCCATGGTACTGTAGTTTGGATCTTAAGTGTCCCTGAAAGCCCCACGTGGCAAAGGATTGCTCTCCCAAGCAGCATTATTGGGAGTAGTGGAGCCTGGTAGGAGGTCTTTAGGGAATTGGGGTCATGCCCCTGAAGGTCAAATGGGCACCCTAGTCCCTTCCTCTTCCTCTTTCACTTTCCAGACATGAGGGAAGCAGTTTTGCTTAGTCACACATTCCCACCATGAGGTTCTGCCTCGCCACCAGCCCAGAGCAACAAGGCAAACCATCATGGACTGAAATCTCTAAAACCGAGCCAAAAGGAAACGTTCCCCTTTCTAAGATGACTATTTTTGGTACATGTTATGGTAACAGAAAGCTGACCAACACACAGGGCTAAACTCTGATGGTCATGAAAAGGGGCCCAGCGCCACTCAACCACCACTCTAATTTGAGACTACTGACCTACCATGGACACCTTTCATATGTTTTAAAATAAAACATTGCTGTGCATATTAGATTGGATTGTGAAATACAGACATTAAAAGAAAATTGAGTAATTAATTACAGGAGGGAAGGGGAAGAGATATCATCACACTCCAATATATTCTTTTAGTGTCCCTCCCTTTCATGTTTATGAAAATGAAAATCTCACTACAGTAATGCAAACTTATTTTCTGATACATGCTTTTCTGCCAACTGGACCAGAAATACTGCTGAGACTGCTGGTGTGAAATTATTTCAATTACGTGGCGTGTAAAGGAAGGCATGTTGTTTTTAAAACTCATCCAAAGATTTCTAACCCCAGATGAGAATCTGTCTGCATTTTAGCCTCACGTTCCATGAAGGAGAACTTCATTCTAGTGGCCAAGACACCTACTACCACCGCTAATAAGAAGGTGTCATTGCCTGTGTCAAGTAGTATCTGGGATTTTAAAATACTGTAACCACGACTTACTTCTGAAAGAGTGTTTTGGTGGTTGTTCGGTGTAAAACCACCAAGAAGTCTTTAAATGCTCAGACACACCTTGGTGTGACAGACGGAGCTCATTCCTCCACATTTTCCTGGCAGACAAACAACTACTTTTTCTTTTCAAATGGTCACCCACTGGGTCAAAAGGATTTCTATTCCTGAGTCACTTGTACAAAGAACCTTCAGTGCTAACAGAATCTCACTCCATGAACAGTTATAGTCAATACCTTACATTCTTTCTTTTTCATTAGTGCAGTTTAGTTTTATGTAGTAGTGGGACTCATTATGCAATATTCACACATGAACATAATTCAATAGACTTCATTCCCCTCTCCGCCTCCCTCCCCATCCACTTCTCTACTGATATTATTATTATTATTATTATTATTATTATTATTTTAAACTACTGCATTGTAATTATATATAGAAATAGGATTCATTGTGATATATTCTTACATGGATAAAGCGTAAGATTGTCTTTTAATTAAATCGCATACAATTCAATGGCTATTCGACAGGCCGACTCTGTGTGAATCTATGAGAAGCCATTAGCACAGGGACAAATAAACAGAGGTCTCCATGCATTACCAAAACAAAAAACAAAAAACAAAAAAAACGGGTGGAGGTTGGATAAAAAGACAAGAAAAAAAAGAGGGCCGGGGGTATAGCTCAGTGCTAGAGCACTTGCCAGTCATGGGCAAGACCCTGGTTCCATCCACAGGGGAACAAAAAAAAGAAGAGAGACAAACTTAACAAAAGCCTGTCAAGGAACCTCCTCCACCCACTGCACCAGCCCCATGTCCCTGTCAAGGTGTGGCTTTACCTGTTAAGATGAGGATTATAATCACAGCAAATATGTCAGGGTTTTCAGCCAGCACGCCGGGGGCATTCAGGGCCATGTGCTTCCGTGAGAATTCCCCAATCGGTTTGCCTATCAGCTCGTCAAAGGTCGCACTCCAGGCTCTCGCTACACTTGACGTACCTGCCACAAAGCACATGCGGTAATTCTAGGACTACTGTCAACAGAATGTGCGTCATCAGGCTCAATGTTCCCAGCACCCATGCAGGGTCACAGACAGCGTGCTGGGACCTCACAACAGCAGCCTCACCACAGTAGGTACCAAGCCAGAAGACAGGCTCAACCAGCAACTGGAGTGAAGAGGAAAGTGTGAGAAGGCTTCTAGGGCCTGGAAAGAAGCATGTTTGTGCCTCAATGCAACATGCATGCAGACCCTCATGTTCACATGGACATCTCTGCAACTACGTGCCCTGGTTCACAATGGTTAAACAGAACAGTATTTCAGCTTTACAAGGGGATGAAAGCAACATGCGTTCCGCAGAAACTACTTTGAAGTTTGAATCTGCATCTTTGCTGGATCTCTCGCAATATTTGGTGTGGTCCTCTGTTTCAATGCTGGTCAGCAACAGTGACCACAGCTCCTGGTTAGCCCCAGGATCACAGGGGGACACAGTGAGACTGCAGAAGACTGGGCTGCTAAGCTAGGATGTTAGGAGGATGACCTGCATTTTCAGGTTATGATATTTTCATATTAGCGATGGGTTAATCAAGGTGAACCCCACTGTAAGTCAGGAAGCATCTGTATGTATAGTTGAAACCCAGCGTATGTTTGCATATATACATATGTAACAATAAAATTCCTACAAAAAGTAGTTACCCCTACCACCTAAGAGGCACTCTGACAGCATTTATTCAATTCTATTTGATTTCATTAAAAAAAAATACTGATGACAACTTGAGAAATTGATTGCATGATGTAGTCTTGGGATGCAGCAGGCAGTCTGCTTAAGAAACCCCTTTTGCAGGAACACCCCCTGGCAGTAGGGCTGATGGTACCTGAACCCCAAGATCCCGTCTACAAAGACAGCATTGAAGGGGGTAACCCCATCTCAGGAGCAAGGCCACCACTTATCCTAGGGCAGTGCCACTCTGGGTCTCAATCTGAGCTCTCACCACCTGACCCAGAAGCCACAGTGTCCCACCATGCAGGACCACAGATGAAGCCCCATGCATCTCCATGCATCTCATGGCCACAAGAAGCACAGATACAAGCTGCACCCCAAAGGGCAACAGCAGCTGGCTGCTTTCTCTCTCTCCCTCTTATTTAATTCTAAAGAGAATCATTGCTTTTCCACTGGTGTTTGTCAGGAAATGTCACTAAAATTCCAATATTTGCATATAGTATTTTCCTTTACTTTCAGGGCCTTGCCAGTGACTGGTCTGAATTATCCACAGAATTTTTCATAGTGATCTGCACAGGATTCAATTTCATTATTTGGATTCAGTATTTTTCCAACATCTCAAAAACGTAACCACGCTTCTTCATCCTAAACAACAACTTATTATGAATTCTGCTTCTGAAGATCACAACCTAAATGAAAAGATTTGGTCTCACTGTCTCCCCTGTACCCCTAATGAGGCTAGATCACTGCAGACCCCACCCTGCTGGATGCCAGGGACTGCCCTGGGCTTTCTTCCCAGCCCACCCACTTCCCATTTCTGAATCATGGTTAAAAAAAAAAAAAATTGTTGGAAAATATGCCCTTCCCCAGTAGCTAAAGTTAGGAATAAATTTCCATAATACATGCATCAGCCTTACACAAGCAAATAGCACTTTGACAAAGACTCTTATTTGTTGGTCTAGAAGCAGTAAACACTTCATGCTCAATGTTTTTGTTTTACGCCCAGGTAAATCCTCTGAAAACATAACAGTCCTTTTAAAATAGCTACATTGTCACTGAGAGACTGCAGTGTAGTGTGAGAGCCATTTGTAGTTACAAGTTTTGATGTTGCACTGAAAAAAAAAAAAAGAAAAGAAAAGAAAACCATTGTGAATTTTATTTTAGAATTCAGAAGAGTAAGCTCTGTTGGCTTTCAGCAGATACTGCAGCTTCTAGAAAGAAAGAGAAGGTGCTCCTCAAAGGGCCTGTGCATTGACCTCTGCCAGCTGGCCTGGTGAAGTAGCAGTAGTGTCCCTCATGCAGAGATGAGGCCACAAGAGTCCCAGAGGCCAGCACCTTCTCCAGGTTCCCCAGGAGAAGGACACAAAGTGAGCCAGGAGTCACAAGACTCCACTTACCACGTCTATTTTTTTGAACAATATTAAGAGAAAGCTTGTTTTAAAAAAGAAAAAGAACATTTAGTGGCCACCTGAATTTCTACTTTTGTGAAGTGACCATTCATATCCTTTGCTTATTCTTATATTTAGGTCTTTCTTTTGCACTGATGTGGTCACCTTCAGTTGTGATCAAAACACCAAGATCATGAAGAGAAGTAAAGCATTTTCCCCTACCCAATCAAAAAGATTATATGTTTGGTGGCTCTGTTTGCTGGGTGGTCATGTTTAATGCTAAATGTCCAGTGAGAAACAGGTTCCCTAGGAGGACAGAGGGTCAGAGGCGACACATAGGTACATGGATCTAAACATTCTGCTTGTTAGATAGTAAAGATAGAGCAATTTACTGTTATAATAATACCATATGTGAAAATAATTTGAACATCTCACAAGGACATCCAATACAACTGTGCTATGTTTATGAATCTATATAATGGTATGCAACCATTAGCAATAGGACCACAAAAAATGGCTAACAATAAGAAATTAATGTATCCTACCTATTGTATAAAGAGACATACTGCACAAAAATAGACATTTAAATTTACAAATGTATTGGCAATACAAATCTGTTATACTCCAGATAGTAAACTCTTATGAACTCTTACGAGCCTTATTCTTCCATTGTATCCCAAATGTCCAGCAAAATGCTCAGCACAGAATAAACACTCAAAAGACACTGTGTTTCTTAAGAGAAAGAATAAATGAATGAATGAATGAATGAATGAATGAATGAACAAAGAATCCGTCTCTCTGGGTTCTCAGGTTGAACAGCTCTGCTTTCTTGGTGCTTTTCTCTATTTCTCCAATTTTTAAAATTGGTGATATATTAAATAACCAGAAAAACTACTCAAAGAAAGTAAATTACTTTTTAACTAATTAGAAACAGCTTATAAATTCTATGTCTCTTGAGTGAAGGGGGCGGGCTTGGCTTGCCCCTGCCTCCTGGGCAGTTCTCTACAGCCAAACCCACGGGCAGCTGAACACCTTTCATAAACACAGAAGGCAACGTGGACAGCCCTGAAGGGAAGAGCAGCCCGTCTTCCTGGGGAGCCAAGAGGGGCCCACTCGGGAGGGGGAACAAGTGGGGGAGGGAGGGCTCAAGCTCAGGTCTGCTGGGACCTACCGATGATGTAGGAGAGGATCAAATTCCAGCCCGTGATGAAGGCCCAGAGCTCCCCCACGGTCACGTAGCTGTAGAGGTAGGCCGAGCCTGTCTTGGGGACGCGAGCCCCAAACTCTCCATAGCACAGGCCAGCCAGCACGGAGGCCAGCGCAGCGATCAGGAAGGAGATGACGATGGCAGGGCCGGCGTCCTCACGGGCCACGGCTCCAGCCAGGACGTAGACACCTGCGCCCAGTGTGCTGCCCACCCCTAGGGCCACCAGGTCGAAGGTGTTCAAGCAGCGGGACAGCCGGCTCTCCTCCCGGCTGCAGTCCACCACCTTCCGCCGCAGCATCTGGTGACCAAGTCGGAGCAGAACTTTGCACCCCATTGTGCTGTTCACGTCTGTCAAGAAAGAAATGGAATAAAGGTGTCTTGTCGCTTCTGTGAGTTTCACACGGACCTCATCTTTTTCTTTTTTTAATATATATTCTTTAGTTGTAGGTGGAGACAATACCTTTATCTTTATGTGGTGCTGAGGATGGAACCCAGTGCCTCACAAGCGTGCTAGGCGACTGCTCTACCTTTGAGCCACAACCGCAGCCCCTGGACCTCATCTTATTGGCAGGACCACAAGGTCCTTTATAATTATTTCCTGCTAAAATGTTCCAACTCATAGCATTCCACCATTGGTTGTCAGAACCAAGACTCCTTAGGTCTCAGGGCCCCCCAGCACTTCCAGAAGTGCCCCAGGAAGTTGCTATACCCAGCTGCCTTTGCTTTAAAGTCCCCGAGCTTCCATGTTTATTTCAGTTCTCAACTGAGAACTTTCCATGGGCAGAAAGCATGCGGTATTGGAAACACAAATTAATGACATTGTTCCTACCTGCAGTAATCATATAAAAGGAAAACAAGATGTCATTTCTGAATACTGTACTGTCATGGAAGACACACCAAACGATCTTATTTAATTATTGAAACCCAGAGGTCTTGAATAGCACTGACGATGTTTCCAGATCTTTCCAGGACCCTCTGAGGTCAAGGACAAGCTGTTTCCACTTTTAAGTTAGTGGAGAACCAGGTTCAGAGCAGGAAAGCACTGAGTTGTTTCAAGTGAGGGCTTCTCACAGCCATCCTGCTCCAGGAAGCGCTTCCCTCTGGGCCAGGCGATGGCACAGTGTGCTGAGCGACATGCGCCTGGCTACTCGTGAGAAGGCACGTGTTCACTGGCACGCTGGCTCACGTCATCTGCTGCCACGTGGAACACGCTCCACGGGGGCCTCAGGAACACTTGGTGGACCTGTGAACTCACAGCAGCTTAGGCTACTTTCCTGTGACGGACAGGCCCTCCTGGCCCACGCAGGCAGGTGTTACAGTGACGCCTTGGTCCTGGGGCAGAGGCCACCCTTGGGGATGTGGAGTTTCACTCCTGACTCCTGAAGGATGCGCTCTAAATAGTGACCTCCTCAAACAGAGCACAGTATGGAAGGGGGGACAGCTCCTGTGCTTGGAGAACCCTGACAAACATGGTCTTAGCCAGGCCAGCAAGGCCAACATCAACCCTGTGAAGCCATGCTGAGCATGGGATGTGATGAGGAGGACACTGTACCTCTGGGTCTGCCTCCCCAAACCCGTAGCGCACTAGAACCTTGGGAAAATCACCAGACAAATGACCATCAGGCATTCTACAAGGTAGCTGACCAGTACTCTACAAAAGTGTCAAGGTCATCAAAAACAAATTTGTCAGAGCCACTCTGCCAGACCCTAAAGAGGCGGGGGACTAAGTGCAATGTGGGATCCTGGCATGGGAAAGGAACCACAGGGGGAAACTACAGGAATTGAGTAAAGTGTGGACTTCAGTTTAGGTGTCAACATGGGTCAGTAGCTGTAACATCATGACACGAGGCCATTGAGGTACCACGAAATAAACCATTAATTTTTTTTTTCCATCTTTATCAGTTGATATTTTATTTTATTGACCTAACTCAGCTGCAGTTAAGCCATCGGTAAGGGAAACCGTTTAAAGGGAGACCACACATCTGGAAAAGCCCCTGCCTAGCCACCTAAGACACTTCACCGCCTGACCACGCCATGCACCCTCCCTCCCAGACCTCAGGCTCAGGTCCCTTCAGCATTGTTCATGTCCCTGGCCAACTCCAGGTCACGGAAGAACTGGGAGTGGTTCTTCCTGTGCTTCACCTAATGGAACCAGAAGAGAGGGGAAAAAATCTGAAGATCTGTGAAGTATGAAGCTAGACCGGGGAATCCCCTCACTACAGATGAGCCAAGTGCCAAATAAGGTCGCAGTTCTGAAGGCGCCAGTGGCCCTGGCTCATTTGGGGTTCCGGTGGGACTGCAGGTGGGGGGGAAATGATATCCTGGTGTGGCAAGGGTGGGGACAGGTGGAGGGAAATGGGAGGAAAAGGAAAGAGCGTTGTTTGTGGAGCAGCAGCTGAGTGGGAAAATCACAGAATCGGAGTTTGAGGGGGGTGCCCAGGAGAACAAGCAGAGAGGCTCATGGCTCCGGGTGCCTTCAGCAGGGCAATGCTACCCCCCTGGAAGCACACTAGGGAAGATTCTGAGGTGTTCCAGAAAGCTGCCCGTGATGCCTGGAAGAAGGGGGTTTTCCAGAGTCTAGAGGAGGCTGCTGGAGGCAGGAGGGAACAGCAGGAGGTACCGAGGCCCTGCCGCTGCTGGGGCCTGCAGAAGGCTCTGGAAGGTTCTAGCCCTCTTAAAGCAAGCCCAGCAGCTAATTTCTCCTGGAACTGCTTTTCTCTTTTCACTTGTAGAAGATTTAGCTTGGTTTACTCAAGTCAAAGTATAAATCACAACAAACTGATGAGTGAACAGTTCTGGGGTGGTGAAGTTCTTTGACAGGGAAGGGACAGCACTGCCATGCCACTCAGTGGCTGTGCTGAGAGCGCAAAAACCGTTGCAGGGTTGGGGTGCAGCTCAGTGGGAGAGTGCTTGCCCCTGGGTTCAAGGCCCAGCACTGCAGACAACAACAACAACAAACAAGTTGTAGAGCACTTCACAACATCACTCTTTATGGCAAGAAGAGAACTGTAAATAGAAAGGAGTGTAATGGGAAGTGGGTGTGGGTAAGCTCCATGTACTTGCACAGTTGTGAATTTGGCTGGTAGATGTGACTGCTGGAGGGACTGACAGACACAGTACCCGCCAGCTCCCTCCTGTTCCAGATTTCATTTCCTCTTAATAATGGGCAGATTCCAAAAGCCAGATGTAAGGCACAGACAACACTACTCGATAGGCTCTGCCTTTCTGACCTGGGCCCTTTGGGAGGCCGGCCCACAGTTCCCACTCCTTTCCAGAAAGTGTGCTATAGTCCTAGGCAGGACCGAAAGCTGTAAGGGGTCTGAAGTGGGATTCTTGTTGAGGGGTTCATGCCCCAGGAACAGAATTCCAAGCCTCCTTAGAACAGAATGTGAATCCTGGGACCTTGTGTTAGGACAAGATGACCCACTTGGACACGCATGAATGAAAACACATAAGCACACATGTACCCACATCGTCCCCTGCAGATGGCCCATGCCAGCGAAAGGGCTGCTCAAAGAACCAAGTTACTTACCATTGGTCAAACTTCACCTCCACCTTCAAAATGAAGGAGGCAGGTTATTAAATACTATAAATTTGGATACAGATATTGGTTTTTCAACACAAGGTGAAAAGGGAGTTCTTTGGTGAGACAATCGTGACCACATGGATGCAGTTCACTTCTCTTGAATAAGCAAATGGTGGCTCATTGTCTTCTGTCCTGTCCTTGGCACTTGGGAAATGCTCTGTGCATCAGTGGGAGAAGGCCCAGCAGGGACTCTGACAGTGGACTCACTTTCCATCACCTCTCCCTTGATGACTTCTTAAGTATCTCTTGCTACCTGGGGTGAGGGTGAGCTCAACTCCTTTGAAGGTGCAGGAACATAAGCACCGTCCCATTGCAGGGTAGAGGGGCAGAGTTGATAATGGGGAAACATCAATGTCGCAAGTTAAGTGTTCATTTCTACTTCCCCAGTCAGGAGAAAGAAGATAACTCAGCCTGGGGTTTATTTGAAGTAGCATCCTTTGTGTCTCTTTGGAGGTGTTGCAAAAAAACTGTTCTCCGACTGGCATTTTCTATCAGTAGTTTGCACACGTTACACTTCCGCTCATGCCAGTACGCCGAAGTGAGTTGTTCAACCAACAGTGAGGCATAAAATCTACACTTCACTGCACAAAACGAATCTAACCATGCCAATCCCGGCAGTGTCAGGTGGAGACAGACTTCCGGCATGGAAAGCTGCAGGCATGCTTTGAAAACATGATCTAGAAACAACGCTGCCCTTTCTTATGGGGAGGGATAATTTGTACAACCGTTGACTTGTACTTCTATTTGAAGTTTTGACAAGAATTCTGCCACACCAAGCATGTCAGCTGCATCTTAACTGCCTAGTCACCTATTATTGAAGAACACTAGCCTTAGGTGGTATCCTCTTTGAAAAGCAAAGAAAATCTGTCTCTTTCCCAAAGAAAGTCTAACTCCAAATTTCATTATAGTAATCACTATGTAAAAATAGGAGCGAAATGACCCATGAGTCAGGATTTCAGAGAGAAAGATCTTCCTGGGCTCTGTTTTAAAGATTTCTGGTAAGGTGGGCTGTATCTTTGGGATGATTTTTTTTTTTTCAGTCTCAAATTTAATCATTGATTCCATCCCTCAAAACTCCAGCTAAATGGCTTGAGGGAAAGAGGGAGGAAAGGGGTCAGAAGTAGGCTGCGAGACCATATTCCTAAATGTCATCCTTGGAAGAAAACCTTAACCCTGAAATCTTCACTAGGAAGATTTACTAGGTCCTCCAAATGGCTCAGGTTCCAAACCACCAGTTCCCACCAGGCATCTGGTAGGAAATATCTAGAGTACAACCTATCATTCCAATGGCAGAGAGAATGCCATCTACATTTGTACTGGGCTGAAGAAACTCCGTCTTTGCTGAGTGCTGGCACTCCTGGAGACCACGAGTCGGGTGGGCACAAAGTCACAGTAGTTACCTCCCCTCCCCTAAAGCAAGAGCAGCTGGGAAACCACAGACTTGTCATGTAGGCACTGCCCCAGGGGCGCGTGAAGGGCCCTGGAGGGTGAATGCAGCTTTAAAAAGCAGGGGCACAGTGCTTATGATTGGGTGACCTGAACCAGAGGTGATAGGAAGGGTCCAAAAAAAGAGCTCTAGGGTGCTGGTCGTTGTGGGGGAGGAGAAGGAGAATCGATGACAGGGAAGAGGTGGTGTGGAAGGAAGTGATCTCAAGGCAGGAACAACTTCCCTCCAGATGTTAGGAGGCCCAGGTGCCAGAACTTCAATTTAAAAAAATATATATCAGGGTGCATCTGGGCCTGGTAGACACTGGGGCAAAGA